TCGAGAGGACACCCGGCCAGTCTCGCTAAATACCAATTACGACGGAAAAGATGGCGCTAGCGAAGAAGTTTTTACTTTGACATAATGGACATGCCTTAATCTTCAGCCCCAGTGACCACGCCGCGCCATGCTTAGAATAAATTGCGAATAAGTTTAACTGGTACATTTTAAACCCCCCTGTTTTATGTTAGCGCGAGTAGTACACATTTAAATTAAACGTGTTTTCTTTAATATGCACGACTCGCGTAAACTACAGAGAGTAACTGATGTAAACACTTACATCATATTATACGCTTTTCGCTCGTTTACAAGGGTTAGGTTACAGTTAAGGTTACAAATCAATCGAGGCAGGTTGTGACTCGTTTTAAGTATTCAGCGTAGTGCGTATTTGTTAACCTGATTAGCAAATTCACAGCGAATTTCAATTCAACGGGATGTGATTTACAGCTTACAGCTCGGAAATTTAATTGAGTTTCACAGTAGAAAACTTACAGGCGTACAACTTTGTATATGATTTCCTAAATTCTAAACTTCTAGCGGTTTAACACGCGAAATATATTAACATTATTATCTTATTGCAGCAGTCATGGTCACGGGGGAACGTTTTCGTATTTCAAACCGTCTTTAAATTATATTATCTTCATATTTATTATTTAACTGATTCGGAAAAAAACGGAGTTTTTAAATAGGTACGTTAAAACAAGCCCGTTTCCACAATAAAGTAGAAGTGAAGAAAGTTCTTTGGCCTACGGAGGGAAACGCGGTGGTCGCGGTAAGGAACACCTGCTGAGCTTTGTTTTTCCTACAAACCTTTTATTCAGGGTAGCGAGACGCACTGCGACAAACGTGCTCAGATTTCTGACTCTTGTCCACTCAAAAATATGCGTGTCACATTGTCTGATTACAAAAATGGGTACCGTCTTTTTACGCGCACGTTTTATGAATACGGTACGTTGTATTACGTTCTTATTTCATTTTGTTCTTTCTGTGAATTGTATAAAGAATTTGCGTTCTTTTTAGAAAAAAAAATGTATAGTTAAATTCTCGAACTGATAACAACTATTATTTTATATCACACTAACAATATCTACGCGAAGCTTAGTACATTTTTGTCAATATTGTCAAACTGTTTCTTTTTAGCCCCATTAGTTTAACGAGGCTTATGCAACTATAGAGCAATTAATACATTCGAAATTCAATATTTTAAAGTAGACGTCTTGGATGCGCAACTAACCTATGTGATGGTAATCTTACCAGAAAGATAAGGTATAAAACAATCTCAACTGCCGAGATTTTTCAATTTAACCCGAAACAGTTTCTATGAGGAGTTTAAGATCAAAATCAGTTAAGTATCTTTGATCGAAGTATCGAAGCCAGATGTTTAGTATTCATGAGACAGATTGGACGCCACGCACGTCCGTCGTACACCTGAAAGTGCCGTTGCGAACGACAATATCTGAAACAGTATGAATAACCGATGGAGAGTTATGAAATCGATAAGGATTAACTAGAAGTATTCAATATCCATTATCTATGATTCACACATTTAATTAAGTTTTATTTTTATTCCAAATTTAAAAGCATAAGTGAATAAGCCATCATTTTGAACATTTTTATATTAAATACTGAAAAAAATACCTCAAAAAATCGTAACTGTCTTATGTTTGATATCCAAAAGTTTCATATTATATTAATATAAAAAACTTAATATGAAGATCTTTTAAGAATGCGATTTGTATTTCATAATTCAATCTTTAGGAACGATTTACACCTTACTTATTACTAGTAACAAATCTTAATGTCTATAATAAGTATTCGTATATAGTTCTTGGTTCACATCCAATATTAAGTTAGGGGAATGATAATTAAGTGACTGATATTGCTAAGTAGTGTATATTAAACTAAAGTAAGGTTCTTTCGTAATTACTAATTATTTATAGGGGTATTATCAATATGATTTTGTTATCATTTTTCAAAATCATTACATCCAAATTAGGCATAAATTATTCATATAATAACACCACAGGTCAAAAAGAAATACAAAGTAAAATTTTCGGATTTTGAAAGACAAATAGATAAATAATATCTTAATTATTATATATGTTATAAGCCTAGCGTATTTCACCTTTAATCAAGTGAATGCCAAGCGTGTGTGCCTTACAGAATCATAAAGAATTTAATACTGTTATATCGAAGAGAAGAGGCGACTGTGGATGGCAATCTCTCAAAAATGCAAACATGCTACGGGTACGGCATGAGTTGTAGCAACTAGTAATCCTGTGTGAAGAAAATTATCCTCCATTGTAAATTCGCATTGAATTTTGACAAAGAAATTCTGGGATACAAATTCACTTTCAAGAGTAAAATGAAACTTGATGAATTATTTTTATGCTACTACTTCATCGGAAGTTCTGCGGTGCATATAATAAAACCAAGAGAAAATGTGGGACCAGTTTTTAACTTGTAGAATATGTGATTTCCTTATACGAAATAATACTCAGATAATACATATGTTTATAGTGTGAAACTATTTATTTTGTTTCCGTTGCCTCCGAACCCACTTCTCGTACTTATTATTTTATTGTTTCTTCTTTCAAATGCTTGAAATAACGTGGACCTTAAAATAATGCACTGCGAAATGTGGATTGTCTTTATTCAATCTACATACAAATCTACTGTCCAAAGCAAACATTTAAATGAGACGGGATTGCCGTCACCCCTTGGGATTCGGGTTCGGATTTGAATAATAAGGACGCGCAACAATAATAATTTTATCTCTTAATAGATGGAAATTAAACCCTGTAGGTATATAATTCATATATACGTTTCTACCAAAGTAATAAAAATGTTGTATAAAGTTATGACCGATTGAATATTGAAACTGTCTAAGCAACTTTTGCGACAGCGCTATCGTGGTTAAAATATATTTTACGGTCTAAAAGGTAATATATTATCTTTAAAAAGCTAAATCCAAAATAATACTTTTATTTTTGTACTTTTGTAATATATCTAGCTAAGAAATAAAGAACAAAGCCCGCGTCACATTCTGTGTCGTTTCGTGCCTTCATTAAACAGGTGGGACTTTTCGGGAATGCAATAAATTTCTCGTTATCAGCCCTAATTGTTGGGAAAAGGGAACGAATCGGCTGCTAGCAATTAGTCGAAATACCAATTAAAACGAATTTGGCGTGACAGCCGTGTAACTTTTCAAAGGAGTCGACACATTTTGGAAAATGTTAAATATTACAGAGAAACTGAGCGTCTGCTGCTCAGTTTCTGCAAGATTTATAAGATATTGCTTTAAAATTGACAAGTAGTATTTTATTTCACGATACAATGTGCCAGAAACTTAAAAAAAAGTTTTTTTTTAAATATGATTGTTCTTAATATTAAATATTTTGCTAACCTCGTTACTACAGATGTACGTATTAAATTAGTACCTACCTTACTTTAAAGATTTCTTAATCTCAATCTTTCGATCATTGTAATTAAATCAAATACCTTTAAAGCCCAAGATAATACTATATCCCGCTATAATCCATTTCCATTGTGTTGGCTTCTGTTTTGTCGATAAAACACTATATCGCATCTTTGGATAGATAAAGCCAAGCTTTCATCTCCAATGCTTTTAAGACGTCACTGTTGATTTTTACGGCCCCCATAAAGAAGATCTATACAAACACAATTCTATTTCGCATCCTGGTTTATTCCTAGTGAAATTTATTTGCTTTTTCTCTGATATTTTTTAACAGAAGAAAACACATACTAAACACGCCTTCGGTGAACTAAAAGATACAATCATTCCATTCTTGTAAGCTTCGACGGTACGGAACTTCCGTTAAAATAGGTGCCATCTTTATCGATATAATAATTATTAAATAACTGTCCCAAAAGAAGTGAGTGAGTGTACTAAAAAATTATGAATGCATTGGGTTGTTTTTATATATACCTAACATTCGTAACTGACGATTAATCATATAATCTATATTAGTAATCAGGAACGTTGAAAACAAGAATATTGTATTATTGTCTACAGATTCGGAATTCGAAGAGTTGGGTGAACAGCTTCCAAGATACCGGCCTGATTCTATAGCAGCATTACGACGCCAGACACGCTTCACCGAACCTGAACTGAAAAGGCTCTATCGAGGCTTTAAAGCAGAGTGTCCGACAGGAGTCGTGAGAGAAGAAACTTTTAAACTTATATACTCACAATTTTTCCCACAAGGAGGTAAGTGAGTAAAAAAATGTTTATCACTAGGCCAAAAAGTAGCTATAAAAAAAATAATAATATTAAATCTAATCTCCGTATTATACTTAGGTAAAAAACGACATGACTGTTTTATGTATTATAACTTTTAAACCGGTTCTTTACCGTAAAATCGATAAATGAACATCACTTCGTGAAAGAAGTACGTCACTAACTAAAAGAAGCACTTCACTATTTCGTGGCGTCAACTTTCAAATATTAGGTTGGTACACTTTGTAGGATACGGATCTTGGTCTAATGAGATTCCATAAACCTTTGAGGCATTCAAATTTCCAAATATTATATTATTTATGAGTGTATAATAAAGCTTATTTTTTTAAATACATATAGATTTTGATATGTTTACAATTTATTTCATCCTAGGAATAGTAACTAACGTCTACACAAAATAATATATTATTTAACAATGTAATACTGAAGACACGTATATAATGAATCCTAAAATATGACAAATACACGATCCGGGATGACTGAGAAATCTGAGTGAGCTGTAACGCGCAGAAGCGCGGTAAAATGCTGAATGCGCCGTTGTTTTCGCGCATTTATGTTGGTACGCCTGCTTCTGCTTCAACAAGCCGCTGTGTGCGTACGGCAGATCGCAGTTCGGACGCCATTACCACGCTTTCGAAGAACCTACTGTCATAAGTTAACGCTTAGTGCAAAATTAGTGTATTTATCAAGTGTACCCTGTGTTTGTGTAGAAATAAAAACCAGTTAAATAAAGTACAAAATGGCTGACGAAAAGAAGGTACGAGTTTCCTTGTATTTACAAATTTAATTCAAGTTCTCCAGACATGGCGTTTTGTTACAATGTGGAGATTTGGACTACATTTATGCGGCATAGTATCGTTTTTAATACATTTGCGTTTTAATTTCCAGGGAGAAAGTGAACACATTAATTTAAAAGTCCTAGGTCAAGATAATGCCATTGTGCAGTTTAAAATAAAGAAACACACACCTCTAAGAAAACTCATGAACGCGTACTGTGATAGAGCGGTAAGTACTTAATTATAATGTCGAAAGTACATATTTTCGAAATTAAGCAATGCATTGCATCGATCAAAATTAATATTTATACAAAATTGTAAACAAAAACATAAAATGAAAGCAATAGTTTAGGTTAACAAAAAACCGGGTAAGATGTAGGTACGCCCTATTTTCAACTTACGGCTGGCTTACACACGACATGTGCCAGCACGACTAATAAATTTATCCTGAAAAATGTTATTTAACATAACATTCACTTTTTTGTCCAATAAATGTCTTAATTTTATTTAACAATGCTTGAGGTTATGAAAACAATTTCATGGGATAGACAAGTTCTAGTGGAATTGTCAAATGCATGATTTCTGTTCTATGAATTACGTTCTGGTATGTTTGACTTGTTTATAATTATATTATACAGTGCTGTTTTACTTCATATTAAGCAATCTGTTAAAACAATAAACATATGCTTTATGTTTAGGTATGCTATGCTGTATATGACAATTTTAATAGAAACAATTTGCATTAATATCTTGAAATTCTATCATAAAATTTTGTATGCATACCTCTATAGCAATATATATTTTTCTACCACTACTGCAAGTTAAGTCAACTTTGTTATATATTGGCTTCTTTTAATTGCAGGGTCTGTCAATGCAAGTAGTGAGATTCAGGTTTGATGGACAACCCATAAATGAAAATGACACACCAACTTCACTAGAAATGGAAGAAGGAGACACAATAGAAGTGTACCAACAGCAAACTGGCGGCACTTTAGTGTAATTTCTTGTTTTAAGGAACTGTCCGTTTTTTCAGTGGGAGATTGTCAGGGTACTGCCCTTCTCAAAATATAAAATTAAGTTGTTTCTAATAACATTTGTAACTACTATTAAGACATGAAGCTTTTGTTGTGAACCTTGTGTTTGATTAGATGTATTGCAGCGTTCATTGCAAAATTTTCAAAACCAAAACCTTAGGTAACTTCTTCATAATTCCATTGTGATAAGATCTTTTTTTTTTAAAACAAGTCAGTATTGTAAATGCTGAAGCACTGGAGTATGTCATATTTCTGTGTGGATTGGTAAATTTTAGACTTGAAAATGTTAACTTTCTTGTCTTATAACCATTCATATACCTAACTTAAAAATAAATATATGTAATTTTTGTTGTTTTTTTTATTTATTCCTCCTTTAACCATAAATTTAAATAGAATATTTAATTGAAATTATGTACATGAACATTTTTAGTTTGAAAACTTTATAAATTTTTACATGTTGTTGCACATGAAGGCACTATATAATTTAAAAATCCTACAGTAGGACTCGGTAGCTCAATTGGTAGAGCAACAGCACAGAACGCTGACGATGCCGGTTCAAGTCCTGCCCGAATCGAAAAAATTTTAAATTATTTTCTATCATTTTTAAATTACTAACTTCTGTGTATCTTATTATATGTATTTGTTGTGATTTTATTACTTTAAATGTTAATGGTTAGCAAACCCAAAGGTTAGAAAATCTTTCAATTTCGAATCCAACTTATAAGGTTACTTACATTGCATAGCCAGGAGAGAGCCATATATTTTTAATATAGCTACCGTAAGTATACAGTATATTTATTTAAAATGGAACTGAACCATACGGTCCAAATTCATGATCTCTGCCCTCTGAATTGTCCACTATTATATCACTATCCTCTAATTAAACTTATATCAACGACTTACATCAAAGCATTTAAGTTTCCATATTATTTTTTTCAGCCAACACCGCACAATATGCTCACTACGTTTTCAACACACTAGACCAAGATAGGAGTGGACTGTTAAGTTTTGAAGTAAGTACTATTTAAAAAAAAATTTACTCGTGAAATTCACAGGGCAAGCTTACCTACTTATATATTTTGAGAAAATTTTACTCAATCATTTATCAAGTAAAAATATTAATAGCTGTAGAAAGAAGTATTTACGAATCTATTGCATTTTTTACAGGAATTTGTAACAGGGCTATCAGTTTTATCGAGAGGCACCTTAGAAGAGAAGTTACGATGGACATTTTCATTGTACGACATAAACGGTGACGGCTACATAACAAAAGAGGAGATGACAGAAATCGTCACCGCTATATACGACCTCATGGGTAAAATTGTGGAGCCTATGATCGACGACGACGCTATTCGAGAAAAAGTGGAAAGGCTGTTTCAAGTAAGTTGCATATTTTTAAGTGGTGGTATTTCTTAATGAATAATGAAAATTGGTATCTTTAGAAAACCTCCTCAAACTGTTTCCTTGTGTATTATATATTGTAAACACGCCGTTAAATTTTCAGAAAATGGATCTAAATCGCGACGGCGTTCTTACTTTGGATGAGTTCCTCGACTGCTGCCTGCGTGACGAAGACATAACACGTTCTATGGGGGTTTTCGACAGTAATTTCTGACGCCCCGCTGTGAGGCGACCACGGCGCCGAGCATGCTAGATGTCCTGGGAAACACCCGAATCGACAGAAAAATATCTATAAAATGGAGTTGTAAAGTTTTGTCATGATACGAATCCAAAAACAACTCGATTCAAAAGTAATTAAGTTTCATAACTTCCAATTGATGTGTACATGGATGATGATTGATGTGGACACATTTAAAAATTTTCAATGATAAAGGTTTTCTTTGTAGGTTAATTTAAATTATACCAAATCGATATTGATGTTGTATCTAATGGATGTAAGACGAGTAGGTAATTTATAATTAATCATGAAATTACCTTTATTGAAAAATATCAATATTTTTATAACAATAATGTAACATGGAAACATTTAATTATTAAGTAAATATTATAATATCTTGTCTTAATAACGATTAGGGCTCGCTCTTTTTAATTATTGTGATCGGAAAAAACAACATATTTAAAATTTGAGAATATTGACCAGTTTAGGAGCCCTGTTTAGTGTCGTTACTCTTAAAATATAGTGGATAAAATCGACCTACACTAAAATCTTTCAAACTATGCACTTACTAGCCTATCACTAAGATAATTTTAATATCTTAACGTGTTGTAGCTTGGTATTATTTAAAATAGCATTAATAGCTAATACATGAGCCATGAGAAAGAAAATCTAAAATTCTTAATAATCTTTGTCCTATTAATTTACCTGTTTCGGCTCTTAACACATTACAATGTGATTTTAATTAAATTAAAACGCTGCTTCTCTTTAGTCTTCCCTCGTTTACTTCGAAAAACCTTGAATTAATTCCGGCCATTTTTCTTAGGTTTAGAAATAACTAAGAGCCTAATTACTATACCACACAATTGCAAGCGGACGACAAATTATGACTTTAGTTTAGTTACCGCTTACGAAAACTCACTCTCTTCCTCTTTAAAATTTTAATTAATGTCATAATTTAAGACTAATGGAATCTTAAATTATTATAACTTCACCGCGAACTGCAACTCTTAAAAGTTACGTCACAAAAACACTGCCATTGAATAATTGTAACAAAGTACTGAAGGCGTTTAAAGGTAACCATTGACTTAACTACTTTTGAGTTTCATACTACCATAAAATGTTACTCCGTTAAACTGTAATCGGGTACTATATTATTTTTAATGGACATTTCTTATCATATCTACGAGTTTTCCAAAATGCAGTCCCAGTCTCGCTCCAAGATATTACTACAAGATCATTCCGACCAAAATATCACTTGCTTCAAGTTGCGTGCAGTTCTCAGCGAGAATTAGTCTATTTCTCATTTGTGGCGTGCAATAAAATTTTTCTTAATAAAATATTGTAAATATTTGGATGTAAATAGTTGACTCTAGATCTAAAAGTATATTTTCATAGTGGATGTTAATTAAACGGAACCAAATAACTAGAGAAAAATAAATTGCATTTTTACATTTAAGTAAAGTGTAATATTGATGTATAGATAGCATACTTATATAATATAGAAACCATAATGCGAACTAATACTGTCTTTTACAATTGAGCAAAATGAGCCATTCCAAAATATTGCTTTGGTATTTATTAACTTCCTCTTAGAAAATACTATACAGTTGTTTTATTATGACACAAACTTATTTTTCTTTGTAAGTTACATCAAAAGACAGTACCTATATTATAGGTACACAACTTGACACGCCTTACCTATCTTAGTTGTGTTATAGTGTTTCTATAAATATAAATAAAAAATATAAACTAAAATGCAACGTCTTATGATAAAATTAAAGCTGAAATAATATGCTGTAGAATTGAAATCTAAATATGTAGTTACAATTATGAATGTTATACTTTCATTATTTTCATTACTTTGGGAACTAAAAGTAAACGACAATAGTTATCTATCGTAAAACAATTGGAAATTGTAATATTGTGTACCTGCCAATTCATCCCCTAAGGTAATATCTAAGCACACGTGATCCTTTTATCTTTGTAATATAATACAAATAGCTTATTCAAATTATAAATGTGCCAAATGTTTTGCTGTATTTCTTCTGCTACTAATGTCTGCCCGTTTAGTAATTGTATAAAGGTATTTTAATATAATTGTATTATATTTGTGGTAGTTCTTAAGATTCGAATCTGAGACAAATTGGCAGCCGACTGGTCTATTTCTTATTTTGATTTATTGAACTTGGAAATGACCTGTTAATATTATGGATAGATTAGTATAGTCCTTCGTTGCCAGAGGATTTTTAATCAATACCTATAAATGGATATAGATAAAACACATATCAGTCAGTCTTGAAGAAGTAACTATCGAGTCAGTCTCTACACCTACCCTTAACTAAGTAGCAAGATTGTGGTTTTATAAACTTAATTACAATGTAGATAGCCAATAATAAATACTTCAATGTAAGTCATTGTCATCATCGTAAATAACATTGCGCGATACGAAGTTTTTTTTGTTGATCTGTCCTTGCCCGTGCTTAGATTACGATCGCTTTAATCATAATTAAAAGCGATGATCAGGGTTCAAATTTGCGGGAAATGTAATACAGTCTAACGATTTGCTTATCAATAAGATTGGTGACAGCCACATAAATTGGTCTTACCCACGTATAGGGAATTCGAATTTTATTTTATGTAACTTATTCTTGATATTCTTCTAAATAATAAACATTCTTGTGTTGTATTGATCGGCCGTGGTTAAATAACGATTAGAATTCAAAATGTTCGTGTTGATATGAATGTTATCTAGTAATGATCTGTAACTAGATATTTATTAATACGGAATCGTTTATTTACAAAATATTGTACTTATATGTGTATTTGTTTTATAGAAAAATAAATATAAAAATAATATAATAATGTAAAGAATGTTTTTTTTTTATTTCCCAAAAAATATGCCACTATTTTTATATTTGGTTGAAATAAAATACAAAAACTAGATTTTGTATAAAAATTTATTATCTAATCTATCAATGTAAATTTACAATGAAAATCTTTATTTTAATAGAAAAAATACTACTGTTTATAGGATAATTATAATATATATGTAAAAATAGAGTTCTATTTCTCTACGAGTATTATAAAAGAAAATATTGTCACATAAATCAGTTTTTAATCTAAATTAAAATACACAGTAGCTAGGTCTTAGGTCTGATGCGCGCCTTTGGTGTATTTTTGAACTATAAATTGTTGTTCTTATATACTTTTAAGCCACATGGTTATAATATATAGTCTATTTCAGACGCACCAAATTAATAATACTAATTAAAAAGTAATACAAAAAGGCTTCATAAAAATAAAATGATAATACCCACATTCGGAAATTACTTAAAGTAATATAAACCATGATTAAAATATATAATTCCATTATTAACCAAGTAAAAATGGTGTATTTTTAAAATATAGTAGCAATGCTGTTCTATTTTAATATAATAAACTTTAATATACCTAGAAATTTGAGCAAAATAACAATAACACTCTAGCACACACTTATATTCAATCCATGATAAGAAGTCTAAATTAAATCTAACTGAATCCAGATCTAAAAGTAAGGTGGTACTTACAAAATAGGTGATATGGCAAAGAAAAATATTTTTTTAATGTGTAATAACCTATTTTCTAAATACATCTCAATTTTAATTAATGAGATCGTCAGAATTTTAAATGTACAAACAATCGTCACTATGTCTAAACATAGTATACCTAAAATACATTTAAAATATAACTCAAATTAATTAATAAGTGCGTCATAAAACGCCAAAAAAATAAACTAATTAAGAATGTTTAAATAATTCACAATTCATTATGAATAATGTGGCAAGTGCATACCATAAAAAATGATTTATTTTTGTCGCATAATTTGTTGAGAATTCTTAATGGTCCCCATATTTTGTTTTTTGTCCAAAAGAACTATAATACAACATTTTTCTTACTACCCTCCAGGATATACTTTCATACAATTCATTAAAATATCTTTGGAAGTATTATGGACGGTACTCTCTTGCAATACCTCTGCCAGGCAGCTCCATATCTTCTTTGACATCTACAATGGTCCCGCCATGCTCGATGTATCAACATGAATATTGGAAGTAGCGCCGGCAGTACAGCTGTTGCTACGTGGTCTTCGTGAAGAGATAGGGCTCCAGGTAACGCAAGCGCCAGGTGTATAAGTATATCACCCAAATAGTTCGGGTGGCGCACGAAACCCCATAAGTTGGAGACGAGCAATTTCTTGCCATGAAAAGTAGGCATTGAATCAAGATCTGCAATATAATTAAAAAAAATAAATAAAATCAAACACTTATATTTTGAGTGACAGGCACCTTTGTACGAATAAAAAAAAGTAGGTAATGGAAAAGACATTAAACAAATAAATATTAAAATGAGTCTGTTCAAAAACACAACAATAAATAAGTGTGTTAAATATAATATAATGTTTTACTGGTCAGTTCTATTTTCATACAATTAGTTAAAAAATTATTATCTGTGTATAAAAAAATATGAAGGTCAGTAATTGATTGCCATTACAGTAATTACAATAATAACAATTATTAAATGAAGATTCTTATTAGTAAAAATAGAACAGGAAAAGTTTACTTACGAACTATGCCTGGTTGAAGAGGGTTTTTCCTGAATTCATACTTTATGTTGTTGCTAGTTAGCAATATTATAAAACCCACAATAAACAAAAATGATGCAGCAATCAAAGCATTAAAACCCAAAGATAACTTTGAATCAACCACATATTTGGAGATTGTTGTAAAATAATATGGATAGAGTGCGCTTGCAGTCAATTGCATATAACCAAGTCCTTCGCATTGCCAATAGAAAGTATGGATCACTTTGTATTCTTTTACAATAAAATGGAGAGTGTAGATAATTTGCATCAAAGTAACAACCAGAGTTGTAGATCTCAACTGCACTTTGCTTATTAACTCCTTATAGTTTTCAAAATTAATACTGTCTATATCTTGTTCTTTCATATAAAAGCTGTGCTTGAACAATAACAGCAGTAATATTAACTGAAAAATAAATTACAGAGTTATTAATCATACAGATTACTTTAATTGATCCACCACATTATTTTTTAATAATATATTTTTTGCTCTTGTAGTTTAGCTAGTTTAAAAGTATTTTTATAATGTGAAAGTATATAGAATGTAAAAAGCAGATAAGATCAATATTATGAATACTCACAGTTCCCACATTGCAGATTCGGTAAGTCCAAAGTTTAAGAGAAAACTTTTTAATTTGGGGGTTAATTTCTCGTCCCATAAAGAAGTCATACAACTTATACCCAGTGTTTCCATATGGATTCAAGTCATTCTCATTTGTCTTTCTACTTTTTATATAAAAGATAAGCGAAAAAGCAACAGCTATTATGTAAGATATAATGGCCATTTGAAAGTAGGACTCAAGAATTGTATTAGAATCAAATATTCTAAAGTAGTCCAGGCTATAAACAAAAATTAGCGTCACAATGCAAGAGAAGAAAGCATTAAAACAATATTTCTTGCCAGATTCGTCAACTTGCTTAGTACCAAGAACAGGCAGCGTTAGAATTATCGCTTGAAGAAGATAATGACACATTACAAGAATAAAAGATGTAAATGACCATATATATATTGATTTGATTTGAGATAAGTCTAATAAGACTTTATAAGAGCATGAATAGGTGCATGTCAACAAAATGGCTAGTGCAGCAAATGGAATACATAATATTAAGCAGGCAGAACCAAGTTGTCCACCAAATTCAAATTTATTACTTATTTTTCCCAGGGACCCACTGCTAGGAACTGGTGTTGAAAGCTTCCTTACTACTGAAATTGATTTCTCCCTTGAAGGCATACTATACTCATCATCAGAATAAGCATCAATACTTTTACTTATCGACTTGCTGACAGATTTGCTCAAAGATTTACTTATACTTCTATGAGTGACTGGGGCATTTTCCGTTTGCAGCACAGAATGAGGTCTCTTTTGAGCATCAACAGAACGTCTATTCCGTAAACTGTACTCACTCGAGTCTGTACTATCAAACCCATTCACCTCCTCAACAGCCTTTGATGCAACATCCTTCACATAATATTCTGTACGTTTAGAACGCGTACCCCGATAAATTTCAAACTTAAAATCATCTAGTTTGATGGCAGGGTTCGTGTTTATTGCTGGTCGTTTTGCTGGCGACTTAGGTAAGGAGTCTTCTTTTTCTTTGACAGCGCGAAATGGAGATTTTCGTGCTGGATACTTTGATATGCTCTTACGACTGGGAGATTTTCGCGAAGGCGATTGTCGAGTAGCTGTCCGTTCTCTGGAACTTTTTCGATTTCTGGCGGGAGAGCGCGACGGCGACACTTTTCTTCTTCGAGAGGGACTGGAATCTGCTATACTAGCTCTTACACGGCCACTTCTTGTAGACATGTTGGTTCAATGACAATATCTTATTTAGCAAAATTTCCGTTTTTTCTATATTTATCACTATACCACACACGACGGCATACAAGTTTTATATAGAAGCATCGTTTATTATTTAACACAAAATATTCTAATCATAAAAGTGTTGTTTCTTTAATCTAAAGAAAAACGAAAGTAATGCAAAACCAGAAACTATTTACATAAATTCAAAACAACTACAAGCATGAAGCAACGCTACACAACAACACAAAACGTATAACTCCGTGCGCGTCAACGACGCTTCGAACAATTTAAAAAAATGCTTTTGATTGGTTCAGCTAAGTTGGCGCGATTCTAACTATCCGGAAGTGATGTTTACTAACTGTTTGAGTAAATGTACGAGAAAGAGATAGAATATAATTCTCTAGCTTCGTCTATGGTTTGCTATGACGTCATTACCGATTGCATAGACGATTAATTATTATTAATATAATATTGTGTAATGTATAATAGCAAACTGCTATTAGCAGTACTTGTTTTAACTTACTTGCTCAGTAGTTTCAACCTTGTACTTAAGTCTCATATTGTCTACATTTATGTTTTTCATAAAATAATACATTTTTACATTTTTTTTAAATAATAAAGTTTACTCTTATAAAAACAATAATTGATAATACCATATTTTACATATAATAATTTTTTTTTTTTTCATTTGTGGCAAGAAGAACTGACTATTTGCCAGTGTCAAGTTAAAAAAATAATAATAATTTAGTTTGCTATTGCATTTAATATTCATAGAGTAATGATCATATTTTTATGAATACTATAGTGACTTAAGTCTGTGCACCATTCTTGTGCTTATTACATATTTTAATAAAGAAACCAAAATCGTCTATGCCCTGCCATAGTTTAAAAGAGTAATATCTAATTATTTCCTTAAATTTAACTTATTATCCAGATCTATTGGGAGAGTAGCTTGATTTCCAAATTAAAAACACATACATTTTAAATATATTTTTATATTAACACAATAATAAAATTAAACAACTTAATAAATGTGCAAATTCTTGCAAAACCTAAAAGTAGTGAAAATGCATACATGTGTAGAAGTTTATATGTATAATGTGTAGCTTCCTAATCACCAATATTTCTCAAGAGACTGCACCAAGTTAGCAGGATCAACATTTGGTCCATGTCTTTCAACGGGGATGCCATCCTTGTCAATAATGAACTTAGTAAAATTCCATTTGATGAAATTGCCCAAAGTTCCGCCTTGTTTATACTACCAAAAATAAAATCACTCATTATAACAATATTCAACTTCTACACTTTTGTATTTATATGTTCTTTTGTGGACCTTAATAACCTGACCTGAGGAATCAGTTCAAACTAGTTGTTAATTGTTTCAACCATTTCCCAATTGTGGAAGATTTCGGGTTATATCTATATATATCTCATTTTTTGCACATCTCTTTGTGGTTGAAATAAAAAAAAATGGCAAATTAAAATGTATTTTAAAAACTGTTCAACACATTTTACTCATGCTCTATAGGTTTCATGTACAAAATATTAAAAGAACTAAGACTTAATCATACCCATTAAAGTTAAGCAAAGATGCCATATAATGAATATTTAATATTTGAAGTACTTTTTGTCTTATCCTTGAATAAATTTTATTTACCTTTAAAAATTTCCATAATGGATGGGCTGAGTCACCATTAACATCAATTTTTTCAAACAAATCAAATTTGACTTTCCGTTCAGAGGCAAAACAAACTATATCTTCCGAGTTACCAGGTTCTTGACCAGCAAACTGATTACATGGGAAGGCCAAAATCCTCAAACCTAAAGAGAAAATACAATGATTCATAAAACTGATAACAGAACTTGTTATTAATGATTGATAAGTATAATCATTAAAAATTTATAATATTGTAAGGATATTTGTATTTCAAATTACCTCTGGTTTCGCCGTAATGTTCATATAATTCGTTTAGCTGTTTGTAGTTATTAGCAGTTAATCCACACTGTGAAGCAACATTTACAATGATGCATACATGACCTTTATATACATCCAGCTTGACATCTTCTTCTTTTATATTTTTTACTGTAAATTCGTGAATACTTGAAGCATTTTTATAATCAGGGTTATTTCCGGACATTTTTCTGAAAAGTCAGTTTATTAAATAGAGGTATAAAAATATGCAAAAATGTTAATGTAGATTAAACTAAAAAGCCGTAGTAGTAATAGAAAGGAGCCGGCGGCTGGAATTACTATCGAGCATTATATAACTTATAAAATTAAAACATTAAACACATAGTTTCCACACCTGAATACTTACAACGTACTTAATTGTAAACGAGAAAATCCATATAAATTAGTTAAAGCAGGCACAACAAGCTTCGATAAAGTTCTAAAACCCATTGTCATTCAGGTTTTTCACATATAAGTTTTATGCGGACAGAATACAAGGCTATTAGCCAATTAAAAAGGCATTGCTACTACTGTGGCAAGAGTCAAGATTATTCAACATTCTATGTGCGACACAGATATGACACATATATTATGTGTCAAAATAGTCTTATTAAATCATTATAAAAATCTGAAATTTTAAGTAATTTGGATAGAAAAGTGGGAGATCATTATAATTTGGACTAATTATTGTGAATCAGGTATTATATTGGGTAGGTATTTATGAATAAAAATTATTATTACCAGACAATCCAAGTTTATTTTTACATTACTATGTTCAATCAACCATTGAACCATATTAGTTTTGTTTTTAGGTGGCTAACCAACTACCGAATTCACAATGGCATTCCTCTTACCGAATATATGTCGGTGCGTATGTTTGAGAAATCGCAGCGGAATTAATGTAATACAAACTGCGTCATATCATGCAAATGTGAGTATCGATTATTTAGTAGCCAATGTCAAGGTCACTGTTTGAAAATTATTAAGCAATATTTCCTTTCATTAGGTAATTGACCATTATGAAAATCCGAGAAATGTTGGTTCTATGGATAAAAAGGACAAGAATGTGGGCACAGGTTTAGTCGGTGCTCCCGCTTGTGGTGATGTTATGAAGTTACAAATAAAAGTTGATGAAAATGGGAAAATAGTTGATGCAAAATTTAAGACCTTTGGATGTGGTTCTGCAATTGCTTCAAGTTCGTTGGCCACTGAATGGGTAAAAGGAAAGACAGTGGATGAAGCCTTGAAGCTGAAAAATACTGAGATAGCTAAGGAGTTGTCTCTGCCCCCTGTTAAGTTGCATTGCTCTAGTAAGTCTAAAGAATGAACTATTTTTATATAAGTACTTATTTAGATGTGTTTGAAATTTTATATTTTTCCTTTCAAATTTTCAGTGTTAGCAGAGGATGCCATCAAAGCAGCTCTATCAGATTATAGAATCAAACAACAAAACCCTGAGAAGTAAATGAGGCTTTAAGGATAGACTTGGAACAGATCTGTGATTGATATAAGGATGATGGATAATTAATCAATGTTATAGATTTAGGCATTCCTGCAATCAATATAAACACTGCAGATGTAGCAGATAGTTCTCATTATTTAATAATTAAAGTAGCTATATTCCAACAGGAAATAATGTTCTAATAAAATTATGTCATTGAGTTTTGTTTTTACTTATCTCCTACTTTTACTTTTTACTTACCTAACTTAAAAGGGTAGTATTATAAAAAAACATTATTACATTGTGTACTTGTCTGTGTTTGTTACATACCAGTTTTTAAGAATAAGATTATATTGCACGCCTCAATGTTAAAGGAAACAATGAAATAAAAGTATATTTTGTTATACTTTATTTTTTTGTAATTACAAAAGCAATTGCTAATTATATGTACACATACAATGCAGTGCAAAATAATACAATAATTTAAATTTTAAATGATATATCTAAGAATTCATTATATTTTTATTATACTGTACAGTACCAATAGTATATGATAAAAGAATTACATCTTAAAACCAGTGTTACATTATACAACCTAGTGTATTAAATCTTTTCATTGTAAGGAAAAGATTTAATACACTTTATTTAAGGTTATCAAACCTTAAAATAGCCCGATTTCAATTTTTGGCTAATAAATTATTTACATAGCAATTAGGAATCACAACTAATAATTCATGTGACTATGCCAAGCTTTTGCAAAGCAAGTTGAGCCGCATCAGCTTTAGCTTGCTTCTTGTTTGCACTAGCCACAGCTGGCTGATATTCCACACCTGCCACCTTAACCTGTAACAAGTCATTAAATTTAAGACAACAAGACAGTTCCACATTGGATACACAAATAAGTTTGAAATTATCAAATCAATCTAAAAAAGGTACTTTACATATTACATACCCTAAAAAGGAAATTTTTCTTATGATCCGGCCCACACTCGAAGCAGAGGTTATATTCAGGAGGGCCTAATTTTTGCTTAGAACAATATTCACCAAGCAATGATACAGGATGTTTTCCACCAGCTATAAGTGGTGCGGGGCCCCTTCTTCCCAGCCTGTTCTGTTTCATCTAAAACCATTCATTAAAATTTGAAATAGACATACATTAAATTTACTTTCACAAGTAGAAGTACAATACTTGTAGAATATTACAATTTATGGAATACTCCTAAGTTTATCAAAAATCAGACTCAAAAATACATCATACTAGTCTGTTACAAATAAAGAAACGTGTTAATAGGGCTAAGGTATTTGTTTTATTCCAATATGTAAACTACAAATACGTAGCTTGTATGTAACTTAAAAAATCTAAATGATCTATGTACAAAAACACTTACTCCTTTATTGTAACGGCTACTGACCTCTTCCTTAGCCTGTAAGCCCCTTGTGTCTAACTTGACTTCCAATAAGAGGGGCTGGAGGGTACCGGTACCCTCCTTACCAAGGCCCTGGCCAGGACACCAGCCCATCTTCTGGAGAAGATGCATACCCATACCTCCTTCCACTGGAGCCGCACGCACTAATTGATCCTAACACAATAAATTCATTAAAATTTATTCTTTCAACGTCTGTTTAATAATGATGTTGGCGATACACATTAAAACTAATTTCTGTCCCTTCAATACTCAAGTAATAGTAATAGTAGACTTAATAATTATTATTATTGACTCATTACAGACAATCATTTTTAACTGAAAATGGAGAAGCAATATTATTTTTTTAAGATAATGTGGCACTTGAGCATTGAAGGTTTATTTTTAAGTAAGAATATGCATTGGTCTCCTCAATTCGTTGAATACAAAAAAGTAGGGTACCCTAAGTTTTCACTTCCCACTATTGCAGGATACTTACCTCCGTAAGGTAACATATAGTCGATGTCGTTGCGTCTAAGGTAGGGCTCGTGTCTCCTTATCTTTTAAAAGCTGCAACAAATATTCATGAATTCCCCATATAAGCCATATTTTTCTTTTAACTGCGTGTCCCTAAGAAATGGGACGATACCGTCAAAAGAGAAACTAGGCTTTTCACTGTAGAACCGCTACTCAGCTCCTAGCAAGTTGGTTTCAAGAATCTGTTTGTAAAATAATCACTTGACAGGAAATGGGGAACACTGAATATTTGTTTGCGCCAACAGTGATATCTAATATGCCAAACGATGGCATAAGAGTTACCACTTTGAACTAACTCAATCATGTGTAAAATGTAATTAGAGAACTAAAGGAGGAGTACCGAGAAAAGGCTGCCCACTCTCTATAGTTTCATTGGCCAAAGATGGACATGAAATTATCAATATTGGTGATTATTTGCCCATATTTACCTAAATGTTTGCATTATTTATAGATAAAATATTTTTTTCTCAATCTATAGTCCATCAGTGGCCTGAAATGAGCAGTCCCTTTGATCCCCTGATGAGTTCAATCATTACACTTACAAAGTAATTTATTTGTACGTCGCGTATTGGTTACAAGAGCATTGGCTGTGTTGACATGTAATGTAATCTTATTCTGTGATCTAAATTACTTAGACAGTGAGATATAATCAACAAAATAATGAAACGCATATCAATTTATCACTAACGAAATTTAAGCGAAAGTTCACCTCTTGATTTTTGTAAGCTATATACTAATATCATCAACGTACATGACAAATCATAACGTGACTAACGGATATCTTTTGTAATAGGTTATTGACAATTATTTTATGTAACACTTAGAATTGAATGAAGATGATAAATATCGATGGTTTTGTTAATAAGAACGCACTTGTAACCACGACACAGACGTAACAACGGTCGGGAAATATAATACTGAGTATTATAGGTCTCGACCGCGACCACCGACCGGCGTATGAGCGCGAATCGGCGCACAAGATGTTCAACTGAAAGAAAAGTCGTTCAGATAGCATGCTGCATTCAATAAAACCAGGAGAAAGCATCCTACTAATAATGACTACTTGTCAGTTGCAAGAATAGATTTGCTTTTGAAAGCCACTTTAAATTTATTTTCATTATACCGTTGCATCAAATATAATCTAAAAGCTATTACAGTATGTTAATTATTATTTATTAATGTTAAGACGAAAGTTTCATTAATTTTAAAGTAGCTTGGCGCAACACAGTGTTTCTTGCAACTTACTGCATACACAACGAATTATGATATTAAATAAAAAATATTAACGGTACTTAACGCGACTTAATAATTTGAAAATGATTTTTAACTTCGGCCCAACGTTTCGGATGCTTTGCAGCAGTGGTCAGTGGGCAGTGGTCACGGGGGGAGAGAGAGAGGGTCTACTCGCGTAACTACAGACAGTATTTAAATTAAGAACTGATTAGATTTAACTTTTTGTAAAAACTAGTCATTATTAGACGGCCTGGTTCTCTTAAACACTCATACTCTTATTTCCAAACAATATAATTCAAGAAATAAATGTTGGAAATACAATTACTCAGCTATATCTCGTTATTAATAAAAATAGAGTGTATAGTGGGTCTAGCCTTAATAAAAAAATTTGGTGCCACTTTTAAGTAGTGTAAGTGTGTGTTAGTTACGAAAACATGTGACAAGGTAAAAAAATTAGTTCAAGAAATCTATTAATACATTTATGCTTACTTCCTACATTTTTCAGTTCATAACTATATAAAAAAAGTTTTTTTGAAATAACGTAAAAAAAAATGACGTCATAGATAAATGTAAGGTTTTAAAGCTTAAATGTTGGGGATTTATTATGATTTAATTTTAGTGATCGTTTCTGTTTTTTTCATTTAATTTATTTTTTTATTATACAATATATTCACATAATTATTAAGTTGGATCCACTATCTGATCATTCACACTTTCATGTTACTAACACGTGTATTTTAGTATAATATTGTGTGTTTTACTTTGTTATATAATCATGGTATATTTGTTACCTTTTTAGCCCAAGCCTGGCTACCGGAAGCAAGTTCACGAGGTGTGAGAATATTAGCGCCTGTCGAACCGGTGAATTGACCAAGTGAAGTCGTAGAACTCAGGTCACTGGCCGACCAACCAAACTAGAAAATACAATGAAAAATTCTCTAAATGTGGATCATAATTTGTTTATTAAGACATCGTCTACGAAATATTTAAACAAATTCAAACGTAAGTATTATTAAATTATGTATATTCATTCTTAATTATATTAAATTCATACTAAGATTATTTTAATTTGTAATAAAAAATGTTAAGTATTTTCTGTAGTTTACACAGTAATACACATTTGAAAATACTTGAAATACTTCCGTTAAATTGATTTAATTTAATTTGCGTTTAAAAACGTAAAAAATGTTTTATTTAAATGGAAAATTGATTTATGTGTTTACTTACACCTCTAGTACTACACAGTTCATTTTGTTCCTGTTCTTTTCGTATTAATGACAGCTTCTGGGAAACTATAGCGGCCATGTCCTGGAAATTATGACATTAGGTGCTTATTAGATTGATTCATATTTATCATTTCCCAAAAATAAAGGTAGAAGAGAAGGAAATAAAAATCCAGATATATTTGTTCTTTTAGTAACTTAATCATAGAAAAAACTGTTTGCATTCTTTATAAATGATCTTTGTAAGCTAATAATTACGTAAACTCACCACTGCAGGATGATTATCTGGCATCGCCTGAGGTCCAGGTGGCATCAACGCGGGCACCGAAGTCAGTTCTAAAAGATAATATATGTTGTATTGAAAACTGTGCTAATATAAATAAAATGAATACACTGAACATCATTTTGTTAAAGGTCTCTACTTACGACTTCCAGTTGTAAAGCTTTTCATGTAAGATGGGGGTGCAGGTGGAGCTGGTAGTGCAAGTGGCTCTGCAGTCCTGATAGAAAAGTAATGATTTTATGTTATTGTTATTACAAAGCTGTAATCAAAACAATAATGTGATTGGTTAGTTTTGTAGATCTATAATAAGTAATGTATTATGTTCTTACTTGTTAATAGGATCGAAACCCAGCTGCGGTTTATCAGGCTGTGTATTCACTTTTACAAGTTGCTGAAACCAAGCAAAAATATCTTTATTCACAAACTAGAAAAAAGTAAAACTTAGTTTTAAGTACAAGTACTTCAAAAGACAGACACGCTTAGTATAGAGACATAAGTTACCATATTATCTTTCTTAGGTGATACAGGCACCCATTCCGATGCTTTTTCACGATGTTGAGAGCCAGAGGACACAGGAAACTGCAGTCTCAACTCGTCTTTGTTTGCTATTGGCAGCGTATTTGATTTTAAGGGAAGGGGTGCACCACCCTAGAATCACACAATCCTCAATTAGGACTTGTATAGTCTGAACAATAAAAACTATATCTATATCTAAGTCAATGGTTAATTTTGGAAAAAATAAAAATACTACAATACTTCAATAAATTTCTATGACATTTTATTAATAGAAAGTTTGAGTGACCAGCTTACTCTTATATTTAGAACGATAGGAGCTTTCTCTTTAACTAGGAAAGGATGGTGGAATGCAATAGTGTCCTCGTTCTCACTTTCCCCATCATTAGATGAAACCGATGACAACTCTCCAAGAGCTTCCTTCTTGGACAGATGCTTGCAAAAATCTGTCAGCTCGTCTACAGATTTGCCTGTTAATGAAATTACATATTATATAGATGATAAAAGTAATACTAAATTAAGAAAATATATGACACAGGACTTCTTAATATTAATAATTCGTTAATTTTATCACCCATCAACAAATAATAACTATATAGTATAGACTATAGATTGAATATAAAGATTTAAACTCCTGAATATAACATTTTCTTACCTCCAGATTGAATGGCAGCCATCACTTGACTTCTAGTATGAGGTGGTAGAACAGCAGCACCAGCTGGTACAGCACCATTTTTCAACATGTTAATAGCATTCCGGCGAGCCACCTCTAGCAAACGCTTCTTTTCACTGTCTGCTAGCTTCACACCAGTTGGTGATCTAGGATTTAAAAATATTTAATACGGTCTAGATAAAATCTGTATATGTATATGTACATTTCTATATTAAAAACTAGTTCAAGACATAAATATATTTATGTAGCACTTTATCATTGTTAGAACTTTTCTGTTTATTTTTAAATTATTTCTTATTTACCTGTCCAACAAACTTTTTATTACATATTTTGAAGCCATATATTTTAATATAACAAACATAATACCTTCTGCCTCTATGTCTTGGAGATGTATGTCTAGGCCAATGCCTACTTCTAGATGTAGAGCGATGCCGGCTTCTAGATCTAGATTTTCGCCTAGATTTAGATTCTGATCTCCGTCTAGAACGAGAACTCTTAGAATGACTTCTCCGACGCGAACGAGATCTCGAACGATGTCTATGATGACGTGAACCTGAACGAGAGCGGGACCGTTTATTACTATCAGACCTGTAACAATAAGTGGTAACTTTAACCTGTAACTTACTTTATTTATTATTAAAATGAACTTTTTTTTACTTCATTACAGAAATAATTCAATAAGCATTATTTGCATAAACTGTTAATAGTGACAGTTGTCAAAACACCAACAGTAACAACTGTTGTAATTAATTCTTTATTTTTAATATTGTTCCAGGACTCTTAAATAAAAATACTTAATAAATTAAAGTTACGAACACAAATACTAACCTTTTTCTAGACTCACTGCCATAGTGATCAGAAGATTTATTTATGCTATTGGTTTTATTTTTCTTTGATTTCTCCTCTATATCAAGTCTGTTAAATAAAAACAATATATTACAACAAATTTAAATGAAATACAATAGCTAATGCAAATTAAAACTTACAATACATCTTGGGCTGCTTTTTTAAGTATTCCTCCTGGATCTGATGATTTCGGAAATTGTGAATATGAGCCATCATCTCTATCAGTACTACTAGATGTATCGCTATACTCTCCATCTTCAACCTTTTCTGCTTTCTTGCGGGCTTCCTCTTCTGCCTTTTTAACAGTTTCTTCAAACACAGCGCTAAACTTTAGGTTCTTAATTTGTATTTTACTTTTGTTTTTATCATTTTCTAGGTCTGATTTTTTATCCAACTTGTGTCTCAAATCAGATGCGACACCTTTTCCATCTTTAGGTGAATCAGGCATGGGAATAAGACTAGCATCAAAAGATTCAAGTGGTGGTGACATACTATGCTCATATTTATGGTGTTTTTTTTGGTCTGGGACTCTTTCCAGTGATTTGTGTTTATGTTCTTTAGGTCTTGGTTCATTTGTAACAGTGGGCTCTTCTTTAATTATTGGCTTATATTCTAATGTTACTTTTACCGGCTTTCTTTGAGTGGATGTCGAGCGGGCATCCCTATGTTTCTTTGATTTGCTTTTTTTCCGTTTTTTACGCTTCCGATCGCCATCAGAATCACTGCAACTTGAGCTTCGACTTCGTTTTTTCTTTTCCTTTTTGTGTTTTTTCTTGCTTTTCTTAACTTTTTTTATTGCTATATCTTCTAGTTTAGGTGGATCAGCATTAAAAGCACTAAAGAGTTCGGAAAGAATTTCATTTGATGACTTTTTGGTATCATCCTTTTTGCGATCAGGAGTAGTTTTTTCTCTCTTTATTAATTGTTCTATTTTATCGATTAAGGACGTCATGATTACTCAAAAGTCAGGTAAAATACATTCATTTCTTAGCAAATATTTTCAATTAATTGTGTCACTGTATACATTTTCCTTTTAAGAACCACTTTTACTCCATAAAGTATACATAACAATTATTGTTTTAACTGTGCAATGAATACTTTCTTTTTTTAATAAACTAATCAATCACAAATTTCGTCGTCAACCATAATAAAAATAATAAATATATGGTTTTTTACTGAGCCACACGGCACAAACAATCGGTAATAGAGTAATGTACCATAGACAAAGTTAAGATGCACATATAAATACAGATTAAATATTTTACTTTCTGTTGGTACAGATTATACAACTCTTTGCTATAATGTACGATACAATGGTCATTTATCAACTACATAGTACATATTACACGAATGGCCAAATAGTACCTGACAAAATCGTATAAAAAATTCGTTATTTTTTTAAATGTAGGAAATATAAATAATAACTATATCTGTAGATATATTCTGCTTTATAATTAACTTAATTTATAGACTTAATGAAAAACCACGTTAACATTTTACAACAGGTTTAATAACATGTTTCAATAGCAGAAATGAGCTTCTGCTATTGAAACATGTTATTAAACCTATTTATTGATTCTAACCTCCAAAGTATTTTTGACGATAATTGATTATCTTACCATTTTTAATAATACGCCAAAGTAAATCAAAGTCCTTATGATTCATTACTGGTAGCGTTTGTTTGTCAATTTTTACACATTGTACACACATACAGTGCATTTAACACACGAGTTAAATAGAACAAAAAATAGGCATATCTATAATATAAATCTTTTATTGTCTCTGACGCATAATGGATATTTATTTTTAAATTGTTTTACAACTAAAACTAAATTTAAATTCATTGTACGTTTTTATTGAGATTTTTGAGATCCTTCTCGCTTTTATGAGTTGTTATCGAAGCTGGTTGAGGAAATTTTCACGAAACACATGGGAAATAATACACAGGAGTAATTTTTAACTCTTTATTTTCGTAAATACCTTTGTAAGGTATGTGATGAATTAAATACAGATCGGACACTACATTCTCACGTAGCGCGCAAGTTCAACATAATGGTTATTTTAAACGCAGTATTCCGTAGACATCAACTGTTTTAAGGACGGAAAATATGTCCTTTTGCAATAGTGTTCAATAGAGGAGCTAGAGAGAATTCGGAAAAGGCATATCTATAGTATTTGGAGAAATATCACCTACTTACTTATGTAATTTATTTAAAGAAGGAAATCTTTATAAAGCTTCAGCATGATTGCGTAATGTATGTAGGTGGCTGTGAATAAATAAATTTGTTTAGTAGGTAACTTATAAAAGTCGTAATCACGAATTGTTCAAAGTATACGGTTTAATTAGGTAACTCTTGTGTTATCAAATAAAAACTACCAAGAAAATAAAGGGCTATTCGTGTAAAAATCAAATAAACAAAAAACTTTTTAAAAAATATCAAAGATTAAATCATGAGGATTAGTAGAGTTGCATCGAACAATTTAATGTGGAAGCTCTGGGAATTGAGCAAGAATCTTGTTTCAATGATGTACTTCGTCGTCGTTAATGAGGTGTTGTGCCAGCAGTGTTTCAGTGATAGGAGTTAATTGGCTTTATATTATCTAAAATTATTATAAGTGTCGCTTTTCATAACAATCGTAACTTTGCCTTCATAGTTCGCTCCCATTTGAAAACATATAAAAATATTCTCAACATCTTTCGTTTTATTGAAAGACGTGTTTAGTAAAGCGTAATTATAAATAAAATTAATTACATACATCAAAGTAAATGCATTCATTAATAAATAAACTGCTGAACATTTCATATCTCTAAGTTGTTTTTTATAGGTCGTAGAAAATTATGAAGCCTACGATTTAATCAATATTTGTAAAAAAGTTGGTTTTCCGTATTAAATTCCCTACCTACCTAACTTTTGTATCAAATGTTCTTGATAATTTATATAGTATTATATAACAAGTAGAAATGTAAGCTACAAAATATAGGAAATAAAATCAATACAAATATGACAAAATCCTATTTTGTCGCGCTATTATGTATAAACATCAAATAATAAATTAACTACAATTAAACGTTTATAAATACAATACAGCGTCAAAAATAAATACAGTAGTTACTTACATAAAATTATAATTACCTTTTGAATAGCCTACTTCCCATAGTTTATAATTCTATCAAAATCTATCGTGTCGTACAATCGAAAATATCCGTTACAGGTATTTCATTTCCAAATCCAGGATACATTTTGTCATACAAAACTGGCGAGCCTTAAGATGTTAGGTATATTTATTAATATTATTAAATTCAAAATAAGAATGTGATCGTGCATTTAATGTATTTGAACAATTGTGCATCTCGAGTGTAACGGTCGCTACCTTTCTCATGTTTAATCTAGTATTTTCTAGTCAGTTCTCGTTTCTCCATATTTTATACTCTCAGTATCTCCTATGGTCCTTATCATCACCTTCATGAGATAGAATAGCACCGCTCAATCAACGAGTGGTAATAAGCATTTTCTATATGATAAGATCCTAGCCATGTCAAGAATTAAAAACACCAACTACAATAAAAATTGGCAGTAAGTAATTTTGAGAACGCAGCACGCCGATTATAGTTCCTATCAAATATTAAGAAAAAGAACGAAACGTTTTTAATTTTTAACATGTTAGTACCGTTGATTGCCTGATGCTAAAACGCAATGAGCGACTACTGCTTTCGCACTACGAACGAAAATAATAAATTCGTTGTATCGAACAAAAGAGAATACTGAAAATAGTTCGGTAGCAATAGTCGCCCCAATCTTAAAGCTACTACTAAATTTTCTAACGATCAAAGATCGCAAGCTATTTGATTTATTCAAAAGTCTTAAAAAAATAAAATCTGCTATCAACATCAACGTTTAGCGCGGATGCAAGACGGCGCGGACCGTTCGGAAACGTTTCTCGAAACCGAGTTTGGAATAGAGAGAACGAGACGCGTCGTTTTCCGGACGAATCATAACGAACGGCTTGTAGCCACGCGCGGCTACCTCCTTCGTGAGGCGCCTGGCTAGATAGATCCCGTAGCCTTTTCGGCGGAATTCGGGTCGAGTTTGCATCGAAAACATGGCTCCGTAATACGACTGCACCATCCAGGCGGCGAGTTGTCCCTCAACGAAGATTCCGTAGGCGGGCAATTCAGCGACGAGCTTTTCAAATACCTCTCTACATTCTATGTCACTCGCCGGATACAGATCGTGCACGGCTTGCATGTGCTCGGGCTGCAAGCGAACTAACTCCACGTCCGGTGGAAGTCTATAACAATAAATATTTAATTAGCAATATTTTGAATCTTATAATTTACAAATATTAAAATAAATCTGGTCAGGTTTGTAGGATTCTGTACCTACTCATAAGGTAAAATGGGTCCCAATTAATAAGACTCCGCTGTCTATCTCTATCTGATATCAGCTTTATATTCCGTCATAGACGGTAGAAAGTTCAACTCTAAACATTAAAAAGGGTTATGCAATAAAGAGACTTTTACCATTTTAATACATAATAATTCGGCACAAAGCCGAATAGCTCGCATTTGAAAACGAGAAGTTGTTCTATAATAAAATTTACTCACTGTTCATTGCTATCTGTAGGAGGGTTATCACAGACATAGACATCGCCGGTGATCTTGTCTTGAGCCTCATAACGTTTCTCGAAGCGATTCACGATGGCTTCGTGAGTAAAATTCAGGTACAGTGGCTTGGTGAGATCTAGCAAGATGTCCTCAGTAGTGACTAGGTCGACCAAATCGGCACGCTCCGATGGACAGAATATAGTTACACTTTCATAAGGATGGCTGTTTGGCTGAAATAAGTGATACATTATATAAATAAAAAACGTTTTGTGTTCTTCCACATTTAAGAGTGTCTCAGCATGTGAATCAGGAGCACTGCGGAATTTAATTTAAACCTATGATAAGTTCATTTTTGATGATGTCTGAAACATTATAGGTATAACTAATTGAACATAAGTTTTAGGCGAATAAGGTTTTTTCAAACCCACTTTACGCATTCGGTAAAAGTAATTTTATATAATGCGTCTCGTGTTCCAATTTAGAGGTGAAATTCTATCCCAATATTTGGTGACCTACTTGGCATTATACCTACTGCAAAATGAAACTCGTCATTCAAACATAATTAAAGATGTATCATATTTTCTCATCTACTCGTAGCGAAAGTCAAATGTCGTTATAAATTGTGCATGTGTGCAACCTGAAACCGAAATATCTTTTTTTTTTGTATAGAGGAGGGCAGACAAACATGATGTTACTGAAACACCCCAGCCATCTAAAGAAGATGTAATAGGGAGTCGACGTCGTTTGGCTTTGGATATTCGGAAATTTGTATTGCATTTTGTTTTAACAGCCGCTTAGAGTACATAAACAGACAAACAAATTCTTACCGTACTGGTGCAGCCAGGAAAGTGCAGGCAAATCGGATCTTCTGGCCAATTTTTTGCTACATAAAAATGGAAGTCCCACACTTTGTTGTTTAGATATGTTTGAATCGTCTGATGGAACTGAAAGAGTACAGTTGTTATTCAAATTAGTTTTTCTTAGCACTACTTGACTTTTCGTGCTGTTCAAATACTCGAAGAAGCTAAGAACGACTTTGCTTAGTCGAGGAATGCGTAACATCTTCTGAAAATATAATCCGCTAGTGACGGGGAAACGTCGAAAACGTTTTCTTAATTACGGCGGGCAAAGAGCTCGAAAACCAGTTACCTTAATTAGATAGCCATACGCCCTAGTATATATACCTATTTATGGGCTTAATGTTATAAAAACTATAAAAATCTTTATATAAACAGACAAATTGTTGCTAGAACTTGCTTAACTGAAACTTTAGTGTTTCCATCAAATCTCTCGCGAGTACGTATTAAAAATTGACGTATTTAGATGAATTAGGTGTGATAACGATTTTGTCCGCGTAAAACAGTTATTTTGAGGGTAAACATTTATTTTTGCAAACGTCATCCTTATAAAATATGACTGTTACCCACGTCAACGTTCGTCCCGTAGTTCTTGCACAATTATCTTAAAAGATAGACATACTGTCACGGACTTTTCTGAAAATCTTTTAAAGAGGAATAATTTTATATACATATTTTTTGGGTATATTGAACCGGTTTCGCAGCGCACGCAATGCAAATCCCCACCATTAAATAATTTTGCCCGTTTATTCCATTTCTCCCCCTGTTCCCTTTCCCCCTATTGTTTGCAGCGTGATTTTATGTTATAGTCTATAACTTTCCTCGATAGATGTTCTAACAAAGAAAAAATATTCTTTCAATTCGAACCAGTAGTTCCTCAGATTAGCGCGTTAAACACGCGAACAAACAAGCTCTTCAGCTTTATAATATTAATATATATTTTATTGGTTTTCTGATCCACTCTATAAGTACCTTTAGAGATTCAGGCATATACTGCACTAATATATCGGCCACCGCAGGGAGCTCGTCTTTTGTTACCAATCGGAAGTTTTTTCCCTCAGGCACGATTTCCATCTCTGTAACAAGTAATATTACTTATTTTACAAGACGTGAAATACTGTCTGTTGTTTTCGCGTGAAGTACATATTTAAATAAAACACTTTAACGGTTTAATACGCGATATATATTAGTTAAATTTATTTGCAAATTATTTTAACTACGGCACGACGTTTCGGATGATTTGCAGCAGCCGTTAAAATAGTTTTCAAATAAGTTTAACAAATATATATGGCGTTTTAAACAGTTACGAAGAAGTAACAGTCGATTTTAGAACTATCGTTTCACAAATTATGTTATTGCGCCATTAGAACAAACAAAAACTCTTTTTGGAAGACACAGTTATAAGTTTATTATTATGTAGACCACATCTGGTTAGTCTGAATACGGCCATATAATGCAGTTTATTGATTAAAACTTTATGAACATGGAATTATTGAATTATATAGTGTGAGAAAGTTGCAATATGGTTTGAAAATTTAAAATTTAACAAGAAATTTTCATCGCATACAGTTTTTAATATATTAATTTCATGAAAGCGACCAGGCCCGAGTCGGATTCATGCACTAATGGCTTCGTATCATCGACTTTGTAAGCAAGGAAAGATATCTATACTAATGTATTACAAATTTATTTTACTATTACATATTATCTGTTACGATTTATTGATATCCTGCGAAATGTATAATTCACGGCATATTTTGTATGGAAATATTTGTTTGCTTGTGAATGTTTTGCTGAAATGTTCTACAACAAATAATTTGAAATACCTTTAAAAAAAAATTGTTTGTAGTGTTTATTGGACTGGCAACAGAAGTATATAAATAATTTGCAAAGGTGCCAACTGACTAGCTGTTACAGTGGTTGAGCATAGTATTGTCCGTCACAAACAGAAAAATCTTAGTAATAGAGTTCCGTTTTATTCCGGTTACGGAAACCTAAAGAATATAACAAAATATGAACGTAAATCTAAAACAAGTACTAACTTAAGTTCATAAGAGTGAACTCAGGAGCTACGGAACAGAGCTACGTCGTAGCGTCCGGCGTAGCACAATTCACGACGCGGTATAAGAGCCTCAGTGGTCTTACACAAAATTTATGTAACATATAAACACGCATGCAGGCCACCAGGAAAAAAAAATATCATAATTTTAAAAATCGAATTTTAATGTTTACATTATTTACAATTATTTAAAATCGAAATTTAATGTTAGTTGGTTAACAATTAGCTTATGAGGCATATTAATATACCATTTATTTGTTAGTTTTTATACCATACTTGGTATTTTCAGCAGATCAGTTTTGTTTCCATATAAGGCCATTTTATTGGAATTAGTAGTTTTAGTAACAATGCAATAATCATAGATATGTATTTGAGGCTCGATCGAAACAATTGGCAGTTTCTCCAGGGAATCTAAGATCTTTAGTGCTTACGGCAATTCAACTCGTTTAATTATTTAGTGTGCATTTTGGTTACTTGGTACAAGTATATATTTTTAAATATCTTTTCTACGAACAAACAAAACACGCAAATACCTAAAAGCACATGTTACACGTGTACATGCAAGGATCACCAGTGCCCTATTGTATAAATTGCATTAATTACCACTGCATCGTGGGTCAAGGTCCGGATGTTTGCGGACTGAACAGATCGATGTAAACTTTTCCTTTATGTTGTTGCAACACGATACAAAATACGTAAGGCTATTAGGCAAATGTTTACATCCTTATTATACGTATTCAATAAAGAGATTGAAATATGTAATCCTAACTAAGAACTATGTATTATTATTGCATTATGGGGTATGCATATACAATATTCAAAGAGAAGCGTTATTCTACTAAACATATAACTAATAAAATTTTACAAGAATGAAGGTAGCAAATATAATAATTTTGTTATCTTGACTCAAAATTAATAAATATATATATTTAAATTTAAATACTATATTCTTCACGGTATTTATATGTCTTCAAACCAAGTTTGTATAGTAATAAACAAGATTATTGTTTTTACATTTCCACTTTTATAATTTAGTTACTTAACAAAGAAAAGTGAAACCACAAGCCATAAAAGCGACATCGTTATATAGAACAAAGGGCCCTTGGATTCCTGCTTTGGCATGAAGCCAAATTCAAGACTTCGTTATTTACGTTTTTCACACTCCTAGCTAGAATTGTAAGCTATATATGAAGGGCTACTTAAAAGCCAAGGTTAGATAGACTTCTCAAGCTATAATAATTTATCTTAGGTTCATAAGAAAAAGAATTCTCGCGTTTTTACCCTGCCAGATATAAAAGTTGGTTGTCACACAACGCTAATACGTTACATTTTGGAAATTATATAAAACAAGAAACTGTAAGATACAAACGATCTTTTAGCACGTTAGCTAGCATTTCTTGTGAGTTAATATTAAATAATAGACACATACTGTCGCGCACATTTTTTAGCTTATTTCAATGTTCTTGTACATGTTTTTTGGATATCTTAATTCGTTATCGCAGCGCCCGCAACGGAAACCCTAAAGGATGAATAATTTTTACCGTTTTTTTCATTGTTTCTTCTTTCCTATTATATGCTCCTTCCTCAATAATTAGTCCAACCAACGGAAAAATAATTTTTGGATCAGAACTAGTAGTAGTTTCTGAGAGTAGCGCATTAAAAAATCTCTTATAATATTAGTGTAGAGTATTGCAGATAAAATGCAAGTGTATTTTTACGCTGTAACTGGTTATTTCAGTTTGTCGGGGTCGTGTAAAATCTTAATTGCGTAGAAATTTTATAAATCAGGTGTAAGCGGGCCTGCGCCCTTGGGCCAGGAAATCTCTGCAGCGCCTGAATCGATCAGGGGTTTTCTTCTATCTGCAGTACCATATTCGCTGTACACTATATACGTATAATTTAAGAGAAAAAAACACGATTTATTATATTCATAGTTATTGATCCTCATGTTCTTATCAAACTCTTAAGTATGTATATATTTTTAAAAGGTTTATTTGTTTTCTTATTTCATTAACAAATTCGTTTTTAGAGCTCCATCTATATTTTGACTAAACAATAACTGAAGCTGGTATTATTTCTACTAGAAGATAAGCAAAATACAGCCAAAATAAAATATGAATTACCTCTGAAAAAGTTATCTGAATTCGTTTTAAGTTGTCATAAATGAATAACTTATGTCCCACAGTAACATCTGCTTGTGGCATATTGATGAGGTGTTGTTTAAGTGAATCAGTATATTGATATGTTACACAAGCTTTATAAAAATGACATAGGAATAAATATATTTTTTCTCTATCATTATTATTTTCAGATAAATGTGAACGGATTGGTTTGAGATATTTTAATCTGTAGTTACAAAGTTTTTGGCCAATAACCATACCGAACATCAATTTTAATTGAATGTTGTTAAGAATAATAATTGTTATACTTATTTTAAGAAAATATTGTTTTATTTTTTATTTTTGCAGGTTGAGACAGAAAAGACGCAAGTACACGTACAAATTTCGATACACCGATAATAAATAATTACATTTTACATAAATATTAATATTTAAAATAACTGTCGTACAATACCTAAGTAGATTGTGCCAAATGGGGTTTCAAGCGGAAATCACTTAATACACACGAAAACACTTGTTAAAAATTAAGTAATCAATTGAACATAATATATTTTTACGTGGATCAACACAATATGGCCCATGTAAAATCGGTCAACACTACTGTAATGCATAGCGCATTAGCTCATAGAACATTCTATAACCAGTTTGGCTATAATAGATAACGATCGTATTATACGACAATACTTTAATGAAGTTTTTTTTTTAAATACAGTTAATGTAAGAAATTACAAACAATGCAAAAATTGCCTAAATAAGCTGAACTTATGTAAATGGGTTAATAATAATAGAATGACTTACATAACTTACACGCGACAAGTAATAAAGAAAATCATCTGTTTATATCATAGATATAGAAATAAGACAAATAAATATAGGAACAAATATATACAACAAAGGTTAGTAGCAAGTTTTCTAATACTAAAAATTGTGGAAAATTATTAACGAACTATCTGGAAATATATGGAAATCCAAAGACGTTTACAACATTTATAAAGTACATTGAACAAAATATCATAAATATGAATGTAAGAGAATTTAAAAATAACGTTAAAAATGTTTTTTATTCGAGCAACTACAACCTCTATATGAGGAAACATTAAAATTATAAAAAAGCTACTCCTGCGGCTTTCATAACTATCATTCAACAAATGAAACATAGAAAAAGTTCAGGTCGGGACGGCGACCGCATCCCGGATATCAAATGCATAAAGGACAATATAACTCCAATTCTAACAGACGGCATATTAAAAACGGGCATCATAAAGCCCATATACAAAAAAGGAAGTCGTAGTGATGTCAACAATTTCACGCCCAAATATAGCCTTGACATAAGAATGCACAGCCCAGGACTTAGTAATAGGCTCAAATACCTGGCGTACTGCAACAACTTGCACCAGATATTGAAGGAGGGTTGATTTATCAGTTCACTGATGACACTTGCATAGTAGTTGGCAGAAGAAATATTGAGACTGCACAAGAGAAGCTGCAGCGCAATCTTACCCTATAGTGGGCGCATGACGTTAGTTTAGTTATTGACTACAAAATCTAAGGTCTATTAGTTCCCCTTATGTGTTGGGCAGGCATAGTCCCTCTATTCTGCACTCAACTTCAACTCAACAAAGAGCGAGCACGAAACCTACGCGATCTGTCATAGCTACCGAGGTACCTGCTACCGAGATATAATAATAAGTGTGGAGAACGAGTAACGGATTAGATTTTGTGCGACTATTTGAACAAAATGGAATCAACAACATGCTCTAAATTGTTATGTGCGCAAGTATAAGGAAATAATCATAAAGCATTTCTTACATCTGTCCCGAGGTGCGATATTCTCGTTAATTTAGGTTATAGTAGCATTAATATTATATACTAGCTGTGCCAGCGACTTCGTCCGCTAAGAATATTTATTTTGGTCATCCATTCGTTCGTCGCGTCCCTTCCCGTCGTTCTTACAAGTTAATCTTAAAAGATAGACATATCGTCATAAGATAAATATAGCGTTCCGGACTTCTTTTAGATCATTTAAAGAGGAATCATTCTTACCTACATATTTTTTGGGTATCTTGAACCGTTTATGCAGCGTAGGTATCGGAAAAACATAGAGATGAAAAATTTCCCCCATTTTGTTCACATTTCCCGCTGTATTTTCGCTCCTATTAGTCACAGCGCGATGTTTCCTCAATAAATGTCCTAGCTAACACAAAAAGAATCAATTCGAATCAGTAGTATAACATCCGTGGCATAAATAAACCGCTGCTCGGTTCATGCCTGGCGAATATATGTATAAAATGGATAAAGAAACAAAAAACAAATTAGAAAAATTATATGTCAACGGTAAGTTTCATTTCAATAGATAGAAGCGGTACGAGTAGTTATTATTAGATAATTTGGGAAAGATGGCGGTTAAAAGAACACTATGGTTATCATAAATAACGTAGATACAAAGTACACTTCGCTTAGAGAAACAATTAAACAGAGTTTGCTTTTTATAAAGAAATAATTGAGGCAATGTTTGTTATGTATATACCTACAACAAATAAAAGTGAAGAAAATTTCTAAATGTTTACGCAAGCGACTGCTATTCAGAAACTCAGCCCGCTATTTATCCTTGAGTTTAAAATAAAATATGAAAGCTTACCCAAGCCTTCAACTAGATGTACATATATATAACTAAATTGTTAAGATTAACTAAAATGTAAGTACAAAAATCTTGATTTAAATTTTTCTGACTGTATTTTTAATTATAACTAATAAAAAAGGAATGCATGCATGCATGCAGGCTAGCTCAGCAGAACTCATGTGGCCTATAGACAAAGAAGATGACTTTCAATAAGGAGAAAAATAAAAAAAGCAAGACAAAGAAGAATTTAACTACTGTTTCTGTAAAAATTATGTTGACAAATTTTGGAAACTGCGCTTTTGTAAATAAACATTTTTAGACTATGAAAATATAAATAACTTAAGTCAAATACTGTCTGTAGTTCACGCGAGTAGTACACATTTAAATAAAACACTTTAATGTTTTAAAACGCGATATATTTTAGTTAAACCTTTTTGGAGAATTATTTTTAACTGTTATATATATATAACTACGGCCCGTAGTTAAAAATAATTCTAAAAAAAGGTTAACTAAAATATATCGCGTTTTAAACCGTTAAAGTGTTTTATCAAAATAACTACTCTGCCTCTAGCGGCGTCATACTGTGTTCTTTGAATTCACTTCGCCAAATGAGTAAGCTGCAACACTGCATAAATCGATTGCAAATTTCTTATAAAATAATCCTACACCGTGTTGAATATTAAATTATTAATGCGTACTTGTTACGCAAGGGATATAACGTACGAAATGATGACTTGTTCGTCTAGTAGTAACGGACGCTTAGTAGATTAGATTATTTATTTTTATTATCAAGAATATTGCTACTTAAAGCAAAACTAACAATCAGCGTACCATTTTTCTAAAATAAAGAGTTTTCCAATTGAATAACAAACAACAATAAAGTGAATAGTTCTGTTGTTTTACTCGCAGTTGAGGTTTTTAGAGGCAGATTAATTATTATGAACAATACATTGAGTAAAATAATGAACAAATAAACAAGAGCGTTATTATGGACAAGAAATAAAGTTTACTTATAAGGTTTGTATAACAAAACTGAAGGCAATTGAGGATTTCATCCTTTGACGATTAAAAGAAAGTGTTTTAAAAATATATCTCAATAAATTTTTTGACAGACGGCACAGGTAGAATGTTAGTACTTCAGCCCCATTTTGTGAAAAGATGTCTTTATGTCTTTCAATAAAAACGAAATAAACGTTGTCTTTGTTGCATCAAATGCCTTCCTATTATTTAAAAACTACATAGATATGATTTGTCATTTAAATATGCTTATACGAAAAGTATAGGTATGTACATATAACTTTCTTCATAAAAGCTAATCTTAATTTTTTTTAAACAATCACAAATTACAAGATCATTGCGTGAGTTTTCCATAGCGTGCTTAAGAAATGTCGTTGAACTCTATTAGTGTGACTTTTTTAATAGGCTGGAAAGATCGATGACACAGGTGAGACTCGAACTCCCGACCGATTCAAACTTATGGTGTTTTTTTGAATAATGAAAATACGTCGTACATGAAAAAGTATACCCTATACATTGACAACCTCACACATTAATTAAAAACTTACCAATAAGTAATTTTATAAAGAGTTATAAAATATAGCTCGACCTCTATGTGGAACGTTTGAGCTAAGTTGTTTACTCCGTCTCAAGTATTTAGCAATTAAAATGTTGGTAAAGCCAAGAATAACCGGAAAGTATTATAACCATGGTAATTTTATAAGAAATAAATGAATATTGATATTACTAGTCGCAATTCAAGATAAATTTAAAATCATAAAAAAAATTGTATTAAGAATGTCTTGTTCACTCCGCATGCACTTTATTCGGGAAAAAAGGATTCCAGGGTATCAGCTACAGTGACAATTGACACCCATAACATGAAAATATATATACAGACATAAACTTTACAACAACTTGGTCCTTTCACAAGCCATTACTATCTTTTCGGGACACACTATTTTTTTATCGATCAGCTGTCAACATTCATATACACGCCATATTGCTCGTGAAAGGGCTGGAGAACATGTCTTCGTGTATCATATCCTAAATAGTATGTAAGTTTTTTTTTATAATAGAGTAGGACATACACAGACTGAAACCGAAACGCGATAAAACTTTAGGGTTTTTTCAATTGTGGATGGTGGTTCGTTATTTGAACGGAATTTCGATATTCTTACCATCTATTTAATATCCAGATTTCCAGACGAAGCCCAGTCATGTTTTAGAAAAATTATAAATTTGTTAGAAATTTGTATGACCCGATGGAGATCGAACTTACGTGTTGATTATTAGTTATAAACTGCTACTATTACACCAACGAGGCGTAGCCGAGATTTAACGGTTTAAAACGAGATATAGGATAAACTTCCGAAAAGCGCATACCGCCGATCGATCTGAAATTTGGTATATTAGTTAAATTTATTTGAAAATGATTTTTAACGAATATATCGCGTTTTAAACCGTTAAAATGTTTTATTTAAATGTGTACTACTCGCGTAAACTATAGACAGTATTTACTGTTACTTTTTATTTTTTTAAATTGATTCGTCTGTCTGTCTTCCTTTGCATAGAACCTGTCTTAAGACGTAGACAATAGCTTATTTTGACACATTCAATTGCAGCAAATAGTACTTCAGCTTAAATACTGTCTATAGTTCACGTTTATTTAAATAAAACACTTTAACAATTTAAAAAGCGATAGCAAAGCATCCGAAACGTCGGGCCGAAGATAAAAATAATTTTCTAATAAGTTTAACTAATATATCGCCTTTTAAACCGTTAAAGTGTTTTATTTAAATACTACAGCTTGACAGAAATGTTTACAATATAGAACAAAGGTAAAAGGAAAATATTAAAAAGCTGCTTTGCTAGTTTGCCGTAATAATGGATATTGTTACTCTAATAATTGGTAACAATAAGCCTTTAAGCTTATACCTATTAAGGTGTACTAAGATATAGATAGTGGAGATCAAGGAAGGATCATGAATAAGTTTCCGACGTCTTTTCTGTTAGTATTATTTTGAGCTTAACAAATGCCTTTTGAATTTAATAATGCTCGTGTGAATCGAAACGGGCACCGCGTATTTTTGAATACGTTAAATAGACGAATAAATCCGATTTGGCAGGTAGAGCCATTGGTAACGATTATTAAAGGCAGATTTAAAATGATAGAGTTTTCTTTTTATGTATAAGGAAACACATTTCTCATTTATTATACAGACGGCAATTGAAACTCACTTTTTCGAATATTCTAACGCCGTTCCTTTATTTAGTAAAAAAATTAATGTATAATATTAGATTGTTTATTAATTTCTATAGAACTCGTTAATTCGTTATTAGTATTCGTTGCTGTGTTCCGAACGGATACTTTATCGGTAACGAGAGACGATTGTGGAATTATATTCGTTCCTTATTCGCATTTGTATCATAAGGATACTGAATTATTAAATAAATCGCACCCTGCAGCAATGCGGCTATCCCTAAATAACTGCAATATGTTCGAGGGGAGTTTATCCATTATGGTATTGTAGATTTTATATAGAGCAGGGAATAAATCGCGTACCTTTGATCCGCCGTACCCTTTGTGCGAACGCCGGCGCGGTGCCTCGCAGATGTTTCGGTGTTTGGTATCGGAAGCTCCTGAGGGCTTCTGGCCGCTAAGGGCCGGCGTTGCTTGGTGTAGCGGATCTGGAGCGCGCGTGTGCCTCAAGACCAGTTTGCCGGCGGAGTGGCCACTGACAGCCGGGGACCGTGGGGTGCGCGCGCAGACTCGCATGCGCCCTTTGTCGTTGTCGCAGGAGATTTTACTAATCTACGCATTGTGCTACATACTTAATATACGCAGCTTTACCCTTTGTGCTCAATTCGACTTTTTAATTTCTCACCGATCTTTTGAACTGAGCTATAAAAACTGTCTATTACCAACATTATTTAGATGGAAACCGAGTTATTGATTAGGTGTGCACCTTCTAAATGTGTTGATTTTTAATGCGTAGATGGCGTAGGTTAAAACAGCTGATCTGTTTGTGATAAGGTTAGGTCTTATATCGATCGTGGCTAAGTGCCGTATTCCATTGCTTTGGCTGCTGTCCAGGATTTTGCATCGACTTACTGCTAAGCGCCAATGAAGACATAAATGTTAATTATATATTCTTCTAATGAAATGATATAATGTGAGGTCTGGATTCTTAGAATTCAATGGTATAGTAAGTAACGCTTCCCTCGAACGATATGCACCTACCTGCTTAATAGGTAATAAAAGCGTTATTTACAATACACGGTTAGATCTACAAAGTAGGTAGGTAGGTCTCTACTGGATTATGCCAACATTATGTTGCATTTGTTTCAATTAATGTTGATTAATAATTGTCATGTAATGCATACCTACTGTTAATTAAGCTATACAATATTATATATACTTATTTGTAGGTTTCTGAAACAATATTTTCTTTATTGTTACAAGTACATAATAAATCGTTGTATACATATTTGATGTAACTAGTAAATAAAACACTTTAAACTGTTCAAAACGCTATTAATTATAATAGTAATTTATTTTTAACTAATACATTTCGTGTTTAAATCCTTTTAAGTACCTTCAAAAAGATCAATATATCTATTAAATCGTACTCGAAAGATGCCAAAATTCCTAAAAGTCGAAATTATAAAATGCAAAAAAATATTTTATGTAAGATGTGATATTTCTATAAATATTACAATTTAACCGCTATCTCTGCGTGTGAGATCATACTTTGAACGAATAGCGTTATTAAAAAAATATGTTACGAAAATAAATATATAAGGTTTTATATTGTTATTTAGTATTTACTTTTTACAATTTCATATGTTTAAGTAACAAAAATTTTACTTTATACCCATACAACCTACTGCAGCGGTCCGGTTAGGTCAAGGACAGTGCAGTTACCAAGTGACGTGCTCGAACCTCGTAAATATTTGATGAAATCTTTTGAACGCTTACATTATGGCGTAGAAATTGCAAAGATGTGATATCTGTTATTATTATTATTTTTTTTAAACATAATAGTTCAAATCCAAATAATGTGGGTGTGTATTATTATGATTCTCCTTTAATATATTAATACTAGCTGTGCCAGCGTTTGTTAAAACGCACTAATTTCAGAAACTACCGAAGTGAAAATTCTTTTTTTGATTAGTGCATTTATAGAGGAAGGCTTTATGCTGTAAAACATATAAAAGAAACGGGGAAATTATTCATCGTTAAGGGTTTCCGTTGCGTGGCGCTGTGAAAACGGTGCAAGATAACCAAAAAATATATATGAAAGCACGATTTCTCTAAAAAATATCTAGAAAAATGTCCGCGAAACTATATATTATCGACCTTTTAAGATTGACTTGCAAGAATGACGGGACGCGATCGTCTTCGTGGTATGATCGTCTTCGATGAAGAGGAGGTTTTGAAAAATACATTTTGATGCTAGTTGCTTATCTGCATCTGTAGTAGAACTAAAACTCGTTTAAAGGAACAATTAGTTAATAATAAATAAACAAAGCCCTGTTACTACCGTACAGTAAAAAAGGTAAATGGAAACATTTCTGATAGCTCATGCAGTTGAAATGAAGTACGGCATTTACCATAAGATGAACCTAATAAGTACTTAATATATTCGCTATAAACGTTCTATTGTTTCAAAGCTCGTTTTATGACATTACCATAGATTAAAGTTGATGCCACAGAATATTTTTTCGATACGGTAATATTGATGCTCCACATAATATACTAGCATCTAGTGAAAATGTTGTAGGTATCTCTATTATATTCGCACTCTGTGGTAGTCAGCATCCATTGTCATTGAAAATAATAAACATCGGTTTTACGTTAAAATTTATTTGTTCTAATTTTATTGCTATTAATTGAATACTAATGTTGAAATAATACGATTTAGGTTTATATCTAATAATTTCAACTCTTTGACTAATGTAACAATTTCCATATCGAACTCTACCTAAACAAGGTAGAATTATTCGATTTTAAGAACTAACCGCATATTTTAAAAAGGTAGATTACTAGCTTCTATGTATCGATTTTGGTATTATTACACGATAAATATATTATTTTTTTTCCAGAATGTCAAGGTTTCGATTTGGACGGACAAATAATGGTTATACTCAAGTACCGAATGACGACAGTGGCTTTTGTGATTCCCAGTTTGAAATACCACCTCAGAAAATCCCATGGAAAGCTATTGCACTAGCTTCATTTCTATTTATTGTTGGGTCAGTCCTACTGACAGTTGGAACACTTATAGTGACTGGGCACATTGATACTAAATACTCAGACCGTCTATGGCCCATCATATTGTTAGGTTGTATCATGTTTCTTCCAGGTGCTTATCATGTTAGAATAGCATACTATGCTTATAAGGAATACCCTGGATATAGTTTTGCTGATATACCAGAGTTTGAATAGTTTGTTGTTGTTACCTACTATTAAGTATAGTATTTTGTTAAGATTGAGTTTCTATATAAACAAAAGTTGACACTTAAATAAAATTTATTTAGGCATTATGATTCATAGTTTCATTTCATAAATAGAATGATAAGTCATTTTACATATTTTGTAGAGAGATAAAGGAAATCATTATGATTTTTAAATATTATTCAGTTATATTTATTCCTAACTATAGTATTTGCGTTTACCTATTTGCCTTTTTCCCTTTCTTTTGATTAAGGTTAGCCTGTTGAAGTGGGACAGAGTGGCCTGTTTTTTTTAAATGCTCAAATAGCTTATTTTTAGAGGGAAAGTCTGTTTGACAGACAACGCATCTAAGATTTACAGCACTACTAGAGTCCTCTGTCTCACTTGCTTTGGGCCTCATTGTTTTTCGTTCAACTACCTTTTTGGGCTTAATATTTCTTTGAACTTTAGGTAAAACAGGTCTATCTCTAGGTAAGGCTGCTTCTCCAAGGGCATCATCAGTTGGTGTGGTGCTTGATACTTCATACAGATTTTCAGTAGAGGTTTGTGATTGAGAACCTTTTTTAAGGTTTGCTTCTTTTTTAGCCTGTATTTGACTTTTCAGCATATTAAACTTCTTTGCTTTTCTGCTGCGAGCAGGCCCTTCTATTTCATTAAAACTCATTTCATCATGACTATCATTACCTTCACTTTCAGGCATAGGAATAAAGGACTTCTTTTTGTTTTTCTTTTTTTTGTGGCTTTTTGGTAAAGCCTGTAACAAAAATTTTACAGTGAGGTTGATTATATTAAAAAGTAATCTTAATAATTAAAAGTAACATTAACCAACCTGTACTTTATCAGAGTCATCACTCAATGACTCTCTCAGTTCAATATCTGTTGTAGAATTTCCAATGTGGTCAACTTCAACTTGCGCTTCACCATTTATATTTGCAGTGTTACAATCTTTATCAATAATTTCCTCATTTTTATCACTCCCTTCTTCCTCTTGCTCTGAGATTTCAACTTCTTCGTCTAGTATCATATTTGAGACATTTTCCTTGTGTTTTTTACTATTTTCGTGATTTTCAAAGGATTTTATATTTTTAAATAGTTTGTTACAAGCTGAACAATATAAGTTTTTTAAAACTGTTTTGCTTTTTGGTGAGAATTTAGTTTTTGAGACATCACTTGGCTGAAAATGGAGTTAAGTTTTTTGGTAGAGTTAAAAAGGAAAAAAAAATACAAGTTATATAAGTCAAGGGTAAACTTGGTATGACAAGAGGATTTGAATAAGGTTCTCAGTTCTAATCAATTTAAAAAAGAAAGTTGGCAAGTTTCTTTACTAATGTTAGTACTTAGTAGTTACTAATGTTCACATTTAAAAAGTAATATGATTACTTACCTCTTCTGTCTTAGAACTATCCTCATTACTACTTTCCATTCCACCTTCTGATATAGTATCATCTTCAGATGACAAACCAAACTCCTCAGCTAATAATGACTCAATTTCACTTAATTTTTTTTGGTAATCCTCACTTTGCAAAAATGATGATTCACCTTCCTTCTGTTTTGCTTCCTCAATTTCCTTTTGTCGTTGTATAATTCTGTCTCTTCTGATTTGCTCAGCCTGTATTTAACAAGTTATTAATAATAAAAATATTTTGCTTTGTAATCTAACTTGAGATATCAATAATCTAAAATATATAGCACTTATTTTACCTTCCGTTTATTTTCTTCAGCTTTTTCTTGCAGCAGCTTTGTATGTTTAATCACTCTCTTATCTCGTCTTCGTACATAACTGACAAGTCTACGGATTTCTTCATTTCGTTCTTTGCGAGCTTTTTGCCTAATTTTATTGTTTTCCTTTTCCATTAATTTTATAACTCGACGATTATCACCTTGTGATATTTCATACTGATCAAGCCACACATAGCCTGAAATGAATAAGTAAATTTGTATTATTACAGTATTTATTTTAATAATAATGTTGCATTTGATCAATCACTTTAATTTACAATAGGTAATAATCATTTACTTTTGTTAGTCGAGTAAGCCATCCAATATGCATAAAACTCATGGACTTCTTCATAAGAAGTCATTGAATTTCCAAATTTAGGTATTTTAGAAATATCTTCAGGATCATCAAGAAAATCTATTTCTTCAGATGCAAGCTTTGAAAATACCTGCAATGAACGATATATCAATCTTTTATCCAAGGAGGTAAGCCAATAGTATAATGCAATTAACCACCACACAACTTTAAATCTTTTGCATAAAGTATTTTATATACTTTCAGTATGTTTTGCTAGAAGTAGAGGAAAAGTTTCGCACAGTGTTCTACACATCACATCTTTTTCAGTTTTGAAACTTAGTGGGTCAATCAATTTTCATAAAATATGGGACATCTTTCCTAGTAATTCAATTGCATGATGTTGTTTTTATCTTTCATGATATTTGTGTATTCATTATTAAGATGGCGTATTTAACCAACACTTTTATTTACAAAGCTCTATATTTCGTCTGTGCACTGATCAGTTAGTGAGTCAGTTTAGATGTAGTTATAAATGTATGTAATTTGTATATAGTTCAACATAATTACCACTGAAATATTATGTTAACTAGATGTAATTACCTCAGAATAAATTGTATAGAATCCCTGCGGATCATCTCCAAAGCCTTTATAACAACTTGGACTAAAGTAGGGGTATACATCAAGACTATCATCATTGTATGAGCTTCCTGCACCTTTTAAAAGCTGCTCTCTGTGATTATCATACCTAAAGTAAGATTAATAACTTTTTTATCCAATATAAGTTACTATATAATGTTAATTATATCTTCTAGATATACAAACTTTTATTGTTTAACAAGAAAATGGTAAACTCACCAGGCACGTTCCTGAGGATCAGACAGCACTTCGTACGCATTCTGTATGAGTTGAAACTGATCCTTAGCCTCCTGCAAGTTTTCTAGGTTTTTATCGGGATGCCATTGCAGTGCAAGTTTGCGGTAAGCTTTTTTTATTTCAGACGCACTCGCATCGCGCGAAATGCTTAGAATTTCGTAGTGGCACTTCATTCTGATTTCATTTTAAATTACAGGTTAGTTAATGTCCTTTAAAATACCGCAATCTCGGTGTAGAATAAATAATTACTTGAAATGTAACACTAGCGATCGATGAGAAAATGGTTAAGAAGTTTCTTTATTGATTATACCACTATTATTATAATTATTAAAGAATTAGAATTAAATCTTAAATAATTAAAAATTTGTGTCGTAAAATTTTAGAACCATATTATTTGAGACGGTCCATGCTTGTCGAAGTTTTTTCTTTTCAGTTTCGACTTTTGACATTTCGTTTCTGTTATCAATTGAACAGCTGCTGAAAGTTTAATATGACATTGACACTGTTTAATTTACGTCTATGTTGAAAAGTTTTTTTTTATGATAGAGAGGTTATTCGGAGATTCACAAACTGAAACCGAAACTCGATTTAACTTGACAGCTTTTTTATCTGTGGACGATGGTTTGTGACCCGGATGCAATTTGGATTTTCCTACACTTATTTAAGTCTGAGATTTTCCTTACAAGCTCTAACATGTTCAGTTTAAATATAAATTGGACTAATGAGCCCGTCAAAAGTTAGGAAATCGATTATCTTTTTTCTAGTTAAGTATATTTTATATGTCATTAATATACTATTAACAACAGCTTCTTCCTCTTGAGGATATTGAGTCCCTAAAGTTTTACCGTTTCTCTACCTATGATTTTATTTCTATAAGTATAAAGAAAATACAATAGGTATCCGAATTTATTAGAAATGTCCTATGAATCATAAAATGTTTGTAAAAATCAATTTTATCAATAAACTATCTCTAATTTGGAGCCGATGGTTCAAATTTAATTAGCCGCTTATTCCATGTTCCCTCTGACGGCTTTCTCCAAAAACACATTCCAAATTCGTACACGGACTGAAATAAAAAATAAGGTGTAGTAAGCAACAAAAATTTGTGTCGTAAAAAAGTATGAATGTGTACGTATTGTAAAATAGATATAATATATTTTTTTGCTACTTAACACGTAACACACAACATTATCGATGATGTATAATATAGAATTATGCTCTAATTTTTCCTTACGTCATAATCTTGCTGGAAAGAAGGAGTTGATTTCGTTGAAGGAACATAAGCTGTGGAGTCCTGACGGGAGTTTCGAGGAAGTTTAAGCAAGGGTTCCAGCCATTCTTCGTAGAGATCTTTTCGAGGTCCTAAAGGTTCCATGGGGTTGGTGCGACAGTTTTCTATAATCCATTTTTGTTCACGCACAGATGGAGATCTATATGGTATACTAGATTTGATGAAACTGAACGTTAAAATTTTGGCATGTTCGATCGATGTACTTACACGCATACAAGTGTCTATTATTAAAGCGTTCTCTAGCATAAACCCCGTGGAAATATGATAGACGGCTTGGTTGAGCACAGAAGTATGATGAAATTACCATTTATAACTGCGGAGCGGACCCGTAGTTTCACTCAAATAACACTTACCTTATAATCGCTGTCAAATCGTGTACACTGTACACCACTTTAGTCTTTGGGTCATAAAATCCATCGCCGGTGTCGTAGTAACCTGGTGGTATGTCTCGCGACGGTTGTTCAGGTGTTATATACGACTGCCCAGCTGGTTGTAAGCCATTGTTGATTTCTATTGTAAACCTAAGATAAACAAAATTATTTTAAAGTACAATTTTCGTTAAAAACATTGGCTCCAAAAGGAAATTACAAGTGACAGATATTTTTTCTCCATTCGGTATATTATAAGTTTTAGTTATATTATTACAATTTCGTTGGTATTCGTTTGTTGTTCAAACCAGGCTACACTTGGAGCAAGAGAGCTCAAATCTATCAGAAAAGAAAGACTCCTATGCTTATTATATTGCTTAATAAATAGTTGAATGAAACAATGACAATACATAAAAAAATACTTGTATGGTTATCTAGCACAGAAGATTATCTTCTCTTTTAAGGGATTTTTTTCTCATTGTTATTAATAAAACATGGCCATTCCTTTTTTAAGATTCAAGTGTTTTTACCTTCTATCGGGCATTCTGCAGTATTTCCAGTCTACATCGTCATATTCCAACCCATCATCGAATACCAGTGTCTTTTCAACTAGTACACCCTTCTTCCATTGACCACGCAAAGTTTCCCCGCTAGGGTACCTAAGCTCACCGTGGCCGTGAAATAAACCGTCATCTAGCTCTCCTTCATAAATAACACCTGGAACACAATTCACGCTGTCTATATCAGGCTCCCTGTAAAAATACAGAATGTATCTACGTTGGAAACGAACAAGGAATATAAATTAGAACGTGTTTCATTATAAAAGTCAATGTTGGTTACCGCGACGTTGAACGAGATTAGAAATTTTGTTAGGGCCGTGAAGTGTACGCGACAATTAGTTTAGCAAAAAAAGAGCCCACAATTTATCAAGGTAAGACAAATTTAAACACTATAGTAGTGAATTTAAATATTATTAAAAAATCGTATTCGGTTTCAAAAATAAATAATTTCCACTGTTTTTAAAATACGATAAATGCTGGTGCTAACTCCAAACACTAATCATGAATCAAAAAGCTAAACATATATTACTATTTATGAAGTCGTATAATCAATATACACAATAAATAATGATAAATTTGAAAGCCAATTAAAAATTTAAACTAAAAACATTTGTAAATGTGAAAAAAAATGAAGTGCCCTTCCTAGTCTACTAATTATGTAGTTTTTCTATGTGCGTCGTTTCTAAACTGTCTATCGAATTTAGTTAAGAAATATACCATTTGGAAACGTGTACACGCCGTATCCACTCATCCCCAGAACATCCCAGGTGCCTTCGTACTGCGATCCCGTCGGGAACTGTTTGACAGATCGCTGAATACGGGGAATGTCCAATGAAACTGACCTAAGCAATAAAAGGAATGCCTTACAAAATCGAAAATTTAATTTGTTATTAGATGTAGTAACATCCCAACGGCAGTATTTTATAAACCATCTAAAATGTGTGTTAGCTTTAAATTATATACTTGAAACATAAGTATGTAATTCAAATGAAACGGAAGATAATTCTTCTTTGTTCTTTTCTCTTTGTTTCTTCTTAGTTTTAACTATTACTAAGTTTGACTAAAATAGTAAAAGACTACGTAGTTGGCCATTTTAAATACTTTTGATTGCTATTTTGCCTATAGAGCTGGTACGAGATATACCGACTTCGAATCCTACATCATGCAATATCTACATATATTATCGAATAGTTCTTATTTGGATTCTGTACTTATATTAGCCAAGGCTTTGGTAAGTACAATAAAATATGGAGCTAGGAAATAATATTTGTTACTTGCACTGCTCCTTGTGAGATTCAGAAAACTTCCGCATTAATCCTTCCCATTGCGATATTCGTTTTGCTCCCACGCTGTAAATAATATTATTCTATTGCGCTTATTATATTACATTATATTTTAATTCAATTTAATTTAAGGCTAAATCTTAAAATAACTTTGTAAGACCTTTAGGGCCTATGTTGTTATTTAGTTTATATTTTTAACGATTCAAATGGAAGTGGGCCCTTGTATCCCAGCTACATAGTAATTTTAAGCGTCAATTAACAATACTAATATTGCGAATATGTTTTTCAAGTTATAAACGTTATGTCAGCGGCGCCACTATCACGAATCTTTCGAGTTTTGACCATTACAATTGGCTCAACTTTTACTTCAACTTAAAATTTTAAGGCTTACACTAACACAAGGTTGACAAAATAGTTACCATAATTAGTTAAATAGTTACCCCATTATTTGTGTCGCCGTTGGGTAGAAATAGGAATAAATTACACCTTCTATAAACCAGCAATATGTTATTAGATATTGTACTTACTCAGAATTATCTCGGGACTTTAATATTGACATAACAAATTGCAAGAAGTGACACTGGTTATTTCATTAGTGCTCTCGAAGGAACTCGTTTTATTTTCCCATTCACTTAATCTTCGCGTTACTGTATAAAATAGAAATTGTTGGAGTACAGTATTATTGCAAAATTTAACTACACATATAAGATACAACTTTGAAATAAATATACTGTATATTGGTGTTTCTTTTTCCTACTTGAGCATTTAGGAATATATCTTTTGAAAATATTTATTGATTCATTGGATAATGATGTGGTATCAGATTATATGAAGAACTTCCCAAACTAAGATAACATTATATCTGTTTACAATGTTTTATTTGCCCCAATGCGTCGTTTGAACGCCTATTTTAATTTTTACATATTTTTTTGTTTTCTTTTCATTATGGAACAATACTTTTTAATCTGCAGGATTTCTTTTAAAACACTTTCGCCTTACATATGGCAGAGTTGAATAAATAACACTAGAAATTTTAGGTGGCGAAGAAATGAACACTATTGTCCAATTATTTGGTATTCACAACAAAGAACCTCGGTCATGGTCAATCACAATATATGAATTATTTATTTGGAAAGAGTGAAATGTTACTCATGAATATAATATTGTTGTCGACAATGCCTTCGGCGTCGTAATTTCTGAGAACCAGGACCCAAAACTTTTGCTTTTCGATCTCAATATTTAAATTAATTCACACTGCCTTACTTGTACCTTTGTAATATCTAAGAGTATGTAAATGTGTTTATATTTTTCATTTATTAACACGATATTGCACCAGAGATGAGAAAAAAATACGCACTTATATACTAAAAATATGGAGTGCAATGGCGCAAGGCGGGCTTATGTGTTTATAAGCAATCTCTTTCAGGCAACCCAGGATGAGAGATGAGAAAGTTGACGGGAAAACGAGATGTTCAAGGACAAAATATACAATCTTAAAAACTTCAAAACAAAACTTACACAAATTATATTTGTTTATTTCTTTCATGTATTTAATCAAGAAATCTAAGATGTCGTTTACGTAGGAAATCAATAAAAAAAGTTCACTAGTTGAGGTCGAGAAAATCTAAAATAAAACGAATTTTATATGACATTGACATTTTTATTATTTTTCATTTGCAGACAGTAAATAGATAAGTATTCAGTTATATACTGTAATATTTACTTTTAGCAGAAGTAACCCTTATCTCTAAATCGAGAGTTTTAAACGAGACGTCATTACAATTACGAGATTACTTTAATAAAATAATGAGGTTACTGTTAGTAAAGGTATTACAAAAACTTGGAATTCTAGCGTTTGGTGAACTTTCAAGAAATGCAGGCGAAGTTTACTTAGATCATAAAGTCTGGGATCTTGGTAAGGATAGTCCTACAGTCTACGTCTAAAGAATGGTGAACGTGTTTTTATTAAAACTATTTTAATAATTATTTTCCGTGGCAATATTTATTCTCATATAATTTTGATTAAGACATCAAGTGCGTAACGAACGCGCGTAAAATCTTGATGATAAAAGAAGGGACGGCGAGTTTCGTGCCAGTTCTTCTTATCCGCTCTATACCCTTAATTTGGGAACTGATATTTTCATTTAAATTTAGAGTTTTTATTTTTAACTGTATTGCGGTTCACAAGTGTACAGTTCTCTCCAAACTTTTTGGCCGGGGTGAAGTTTAGCGAGACCGCTATCTTTCGCATAGTACTGTCAGTTTTAAGCAAAAAGTCGAGTCGCCCCGTACCCGGGCACCCCCTTTGTCGCAACTGGTACCTGTTTTTTGGGTTCTGCGCAACCATGCACGCTAACTTCAGCCCGACCAAAAAGTTTGGAAAGAACTGTACATATCCACCTCCGTGAATAAATGATTTTTGGTTCGATTTGATAAAGCGAACGTTATAAATAAAATAAAAATTAATTTGTTTTATCCGTTGACCAATATTTGGGGTTGTTTCATATATATAAATACTTAGTCAGATTTTCTTTTGTAGTAGTCTATCGATATAAAAAACTTATTGAGAGTTTATTACGAACGTCTATAAACATATCATATACGTAGAATATAATAATATTATTCAGAAATAAATATTTTTATTTTCCTACTAGCTTAGTGCTTTATACTGTATATTAAAGCCACTGCTAAGTCGTTGTATGAGAAGATCTTAGTTCGCTACGATCCATTAAGTAATGGTTGATGCAGTACAAACATTTGGGATGCTGACTAGAAAATATGTGGCTAAGTAAGAACATTATACCAAATTTGTGTTCCTTTGCTCTGTTTTACGTGTCAGAACTTAGAGTTCAATTTACATACGGAATTTAGCGGGTAGGAGAGGAATATTATGCATTTTTAAATAAAATGTTTAGAATTCTATTCGTAATATAACTCTCATACGTTAGTAATTTGTTAACTAGCTTAAGACGCGACTATGTCTTTGTGCAAGTGATTTTCGGCAGTGGTTGTTCTAACGTGTTTAACGGCTTGCGTTACGAATACACAATATTTTATTTGTTATGCCTATAAGATAATAAGCTGGGCTTATTCTTTTGTTGAGAGCTATGTGAATATCCGTTTAATACTTATAAAGATAAGACACGTATAGACAGATAAAAAAGTTTTAAATATAACCAGTGGCGGCTGCACCTTAAGTCCGCTCGAGCGCCGAACCACCAACTCAAAAGACTTAGAAATTACACAATTTTACTTCAATTTTTTTTTTGAATTACTATTTTAATATTTATTATATAAACATACATAATTAATTTCGGATTATGGTAGAACAGTTTGACCGATTTACAAATTGCCATCGTGTTTTGTTGAATTTCCTAATTTTAATATTTGGTAAGTACCTAAGCAAAGTGCACTTCCAATTCCATAACCCACCAGATGCCACAGCTAATAACAACCTCACTAGATTTAAATAATTTTATTAAATACGTAGAGAAACGTATCTATTGCTTCATATGCAGAGGTAGGAAAATCGAAGTTTCCTTGATTTAGTTACCGAGAAGACGAAGAGAACTTTAATAATGCAGTGTGAATTATTGCATTTATGCATGGGCTCGTCGAATTGCCCAACCAATTCTGCGAAGCAATCGCCGTTGCCTAATTTATTCTAACAATGGGTTCCCTGCGATGAGCATTGATTGACATTTTGGATTCAAATCGTCTTTCAAACAGAAATAAGTTTATGATGCTGTAATAATATCTTGTTTAGACCAATCTAAATTATTATTGCTTTTAACAACCCGCAAGAGCTAATGTTTCACTAATCCATCGTTGTGTTAACTAATGGAATGTCAAGTGGAGACAAACCGTGTCTAAAAGAACCCAGATCGTAAAAGTTTAATCGCACATCGGTTTCAGTCTGAATTTCCGAATATCAAAAGCCAAAAAAGGTCGATAGCACATCTTGTTTTGTATTATTTGGCCGGGGTGTTTCAACTACCATCGAGTGAATCCCATGCTTGTCTCTCCTTCTCCATAAAAGAAATGTAAATGTCAATCTGATATATAGTCTTAATTAGTAGTTCTTTGCTGTATCTCTTACTGTCATTTTCAACAATTATTACTTTATCGATAAAAGGGCAAAAGAATTGTGGGCCTGCAAACAACTGATATACAAGGAAATGAAAGCTTATTCCACGCTTTGACTAAGTTTTTTCATTTCGTTGCGACGCGTTTGTAATTAGTAAGAAAAGTAATTAAAAAGTACAACTCAACCTGTCCGTCACTTCTTGTGATATAATAACTGAACTTGCGAAGTATTTTCTCTAATCTTATGAGACAATCAATCTGAACCCGTCTAAGAAATCTTACACGTGCCTTTATGTAAGATTCTGTTGAAAGTTATTCTTGAGTAATGATAACAACATACCTATATTCCGAAACGACCTTTGTTCGAATTTTTTGCGCGGCAAATGCAATGCAAATTGAATCAATACTAATATTATAAATCTGGAGAGTTTGTTTGTATGTTTGAATGCGCTGATCTCGAGAACTACTAAAAAAATATTTTTGTGTCGCTTGGATCATCATTTATCGAGGAAGGTTATGAAAGATCAGGCTGCGACGCGATATCAATAGGAGCAAGGAAACAGAGGGAAATGTGGAAAAAAACGGGAACAAATATTCATCTTTGAGTGCACTGCAAAAACGTTTTAAGAAACCAAAACATATGTATGAAAAAATGATTCTTCTTCATTTTTTTATCTTTATTTAATATATTAGGGAACAGTACAGTATAATATGTCTATCTTTTAAGATGTACTCGCTAGAACGAGACGCTGACGACGCCGAGGGTAGGTATATCAAGTGTTGAATATATTTGTTTACTCCTAACTTAGTACTTTTACTGCCTGTATCCTATCGCCTAGCATTGGATTAAGCTCTAGAAGTCGTAAGGTAGAATACCAAGTACACAATCGTTTTAACCGAGTAGAGCTCCGATAAACGTTCAGTTCAGTTTAGTCGTGTTTGTAAACGAAACTGGCATTTCTATAAAAAAAATGCCTAACGTTAAAAGTCTGATCCACTTGATTTTTCCCCTATACATCTCGAGGAGCCAAATTTATAGTCGACATTTGCTATAGAAAGGATAGTATAGTACACCAAGTTAATGCTGAACTTGATTAAACAGTTTCTGTGAAGTGGTCACTTTGTAGAGTTAAATTCTACTGAAACTAAACTGGGTTAAGTTTGAGTCTGCGTTTAGATTTCGCCGCCATTTTCTTGTTAAATATCGTGCTTAGACTAAGCAACTATGATAAGTAAGCATCTAAAACCTAGGTATGATCTATTAAAAACTTTTGCGCGTATCCGGGACCAGGCGTTCATTTTCTTTCCTATATGGTTATAACAATAAGATATTTAACTTATATTTGCTGATGAAGAACTAAAATAGTTCAACAACATTTAAGGTCTATTTAATTGACGTAGATTCGTTACTTTAATTTAAATGTTATTGTCACTCTTGCTACTACTATTAAATTATGACACAACAAATATATA